ATGACAGAAAAGATTCTTAATTCTCACCTGAAAAGCTCAGATTGAGCTTGTTTCGCTGCTCAGTCTCCTTTAGCTTCTGCTCCAAATTCAGACGCCTCAAAAGCTGACCAGAAGCCACATGAAAGTCGTGGCCTTCGCTGTGCTCGTTGGCAGTGAAGTCTGGTTCACAGTAACTGTGCCAAAGGCACCTGAGCCCACGAGCTGATTTGGTTTGGCTGCTGTGCCCTCTCTCCCTGGGGATCCCGTGCGGGCGGGCGCTGGCGAGCGGCAGCTCCTGAGCGGGCCTGGTTTGTGTGTCCAGGGGGAATGGCTGCCGGGGGCAGCGGGAAGGGCCGAGGGGCCAAGCGCAAGCAGCAGGACGGGGGCACCACGGGCACGGCCAAGAAAACACGGAGGTGAGAGCAGAGGTGCCGTGGAGGGGCAGGGATGGGCACGGGGATGAGTGTGGAGATAGACATGGGAATGGCACAGGGATGGGCGTGGGCATGGCACAGGGAGGGGTGCAGGGCTGGGTGTGGAGATGGACACAGGGTTGGGCATGGGGATGGACACGGGGATGGCACAGGGATGGGCATGGGGATGGCACAGGGATGGGTGTGGAGGTGGACACGGGGATGGCACAGGGATGTGTGTGGAGATGGTCACAGGGATGGGCATGGCACAGAGATGGATGTGGAGATGGACACGGGGATGGCACAGGGATGGGCATGGGGATGGCACAGGGCTGGGTGTGGAGATGGACACAGGGATGGGCATGGGGATGGCACAGGGATGGGTGTGGAGATGGACACGGGGATGGCACAGGGATGGGCATTGCACAGGGATGGGTGTGGGGATGGCACAGGGAGGGGTGCAGGGCTGGGGGTGGAGATGGACGCAGGGATGGGCATGGGGATGGCCCAGGGATGGGCATGGCACAGGGATGGATGTGGAGATGGCACAGGGATGGGCATGCGGATGGCACAGGGATGGGTAGGGCACAGGGATGGGGGTGGAGATGGACCCAGGAATGGCACAGGGAAGGGTATGGGGATGGGCATGGGGATGGCCCAGGGATGGGCATGGCACAGGGATGGATGTGGAGATGGCACAGGGATGGGCATGCGGATGGCACAGGGATGGGTAGGGCACAGGGATGGGGGTGGAGATGGACCCAGGAATGGCACAGGGAAGGGTATGGGGATGGGCATGGGGATGGCCCAGGGATGGGCATGGCACAGGGATGGATGTGGAGATGGCACAGGGATGGGCATGGGGATGGCACAGGGATGGGTAGGGCACAGGGATGGGTGTGGAGATGGACCCAGGAATGGCACAGGGAAGGGTATGGAGATGGGCATGGGGATGGGCGCAGGGATGGGTACCAGTCAGGGACAGTGGCACTTGTGATGCCCTGAGCTGCCTCCCAGCTGTCTCTGCCCTGGGTGGGTGTCTGGGGGTCACTCCAGAGCCCTGTGATGTCACTGATGATGTCATGGATGACTGATGGGTCACAGGCTATAAGTGATTTGCAGTGGATGACCGCTCATTTCACGGAGACACGAGTGTGCAGCATTGAGCACAGGGACAGCTCTGCAGGGGCTGTGACAAGTGACAGCACCTGGAGATGCCAGCGTGGTGTTTGTGTGTTTCAGTGACCCGCTGTTTGCTGCTCAGCGCCTGCCCCCCCACGGGTACCCTCTGGAGCACCCCTTCAACAAGGACGGCTATCGCTACATCCTGGCCGAGCCCGACCCCCACGCGCCCGACCCTGAAAAGCTGGAGCTGGACTGCTGGGCAGGAAAACCAATTCCTGGGGACCTGTACAGAGCCTGCCTGTATGAGCGAGTCCTCCTGGCGCTGCATGACCGAGGTACAGAGCCTGTTAGTCTGTGCAGCCTGGGTTTCCTTCCAGAGGCACCAGTCAGAGCTGTTTCAGCTGCCCCTGCTCTCACAGGTGCAGAACTTAAATCCACCTCTGCGTGTTCACTTGCCTTTTGACATCACCACGTTAAAAATCACAAGTGCATGCTCTTGTGCTCCCCTGCAGCTCCCCAGCTGAAGATCTCTGACGACAGGCTGACTGTTGTTGGGGAGAAGGGCTATTCCATGGTGAGGGCCTCGCACGGCGTGCGCAAGGGAGCCTGGTACTTCGAAATCTCCATGGACGAGATGCCTCCAGACACAGCTGCCAGATTAGGCTGGTCACAGCCCTTGGGTAAATAATGTTACAAAGCATTTCTCAGCAGGTGCTCCTGCTACACTCCCTGTGCTCACCATGAAGCATTTGTTTCTACAGGGAACCTCCAGGCCCCTCTGGGATACGACAAGTTCAGTTACTCCTGGCGCAGCAAAAAGGGAACCAAGTTTCACCAGTCCATAGGGAAACACTATTCCTCTGGCTACGGACAGGGCGATATCCTGGGGTTCTACATCAACCTTCCAGAGGATACTGAGACAGCCAAATCCCTGCCTGACACCTACAAAGACAAGGTGAGGTGCAAGTTCACTGTTGGATTAAGCATTGGCAGGTGGAAAACTGGAAAATGGCCTCACTCGTGCCCCTTTCCATGCATCCTTCCCATCCTGCCTCTCGGTACCTCTGTGGTTCGTGGGGGAGAGGCCCAAGGTGTTGATCTCAAGAAAGCAAAATACTCCTGGATGGGATTGCCCACATCTCCTTTCACCTTCCCCTCCTGGCTCTGAAATGTCTGAGCTGTGGGAATCACTTCTCACAGGTACTCTGACACCAGGCACGCCTGGCCCTGAGCAGGGCAGGTAACAGGTTTCAGGCTTGTTCCTGACATTGTTTACTGCTGTTTCAGGCTTTGATCAAGTTCAAAAGCTACTTGTACTTTGAAGAGAAGGATTTTGTGGACAAAGCAGAGAAGAGCCTAAAGCAAGCCCCTGGAAGCCAGGTGAGTTGTTGCTGTCATTTCAGCACGTGCCTGGCCTGAGTGAAAGGGAGCAGGCATTAATCTTGTCAGGGTTGCTGTGTCCTGACAGCCACCATCAGAGGGAAAACCCTTCATTTTTCAGATCATATTCTTCAAGAATGGTGTCAGCCAAGGAGTTGCCTTTAAGGACATCTTTGAGGGGGTTTATTTTCCTGCTATCTCTCTGTACAAAGGCTGCACGGTAAGTGAGGGGTCTTTGAAAGGGAATTCCTAAATGCATCAGTTTCACACCCAAAGTGTGTTCATGCACTAGGTGTGGGCACTCAGGGAGTGTGCCAGGTGAAAAGATGGGAACCATTTTAGTGACTCTGGAACAATCTTGCTGTTCACACACGTAACAAGATTATCAAATTGCTGAAGTAACATCAGCAGTGTTTGTTCCTGTGAGCTTGCACAGGGTGTGGGGAGGCTCAGGAGTAGGAAGGGACAAGGACAAAGAACTAAAGAGATTTTCCTAGATTTTTACATGTGATGAAAATGTATGTTCCACAGGTTTCCATAAACTTTGGACCATATTTCAAGTATCCACCGAGAGACATCACTTACCATCCTGTAAGTACTGAAGCTTCTCCCCCCATTTGAGAGCCTCATTGTTTAAATCAGAGATGTTTTGGTGTGATTCATGCCACACCTGTACCTGTCCTTCAGTCTCACTACCTGGACAGTGTAGCCAAAAGGATTGTGTTTAAAATATATATAAGGACAGATATCCAGGTGCTGTTATCTTGTTCCTCTTGACAGACTGTTGCCTGTGTTGGCCTCATTTGTCAGTAAGGGGACTGAATTGTTGTTGAAGAAAACACTTGGAATTCCTCCCCTGCCACTACTGTTTTGAGGAGGAAAACAGCTCTGGGCTGTGTGGTCCCTCCTTGTCCAAGAGTGGAGCTAACTGTGCTTCCCTCTGCAGATGAGTGACATGGGCTGGGGGGCCGTGGTGGAGCACACGCTGGCAGATGTCCTGTACCACGTGGAGACAGAGGTGGATGGCAGGAGGAGCCCACCCTGGGAGCCATAAACCCCAGCACCGTGGAGGAGCATCCATCTCTCTCTCAGTGATCAGCCAAGGACCGAAGAGGCTGAGGTGGATGCAGCCCTGGCTGACAGGTGTTGTGTGTGTGTTCACAGCTCCCCACTGCCCCAGGAGGCAGGTCTGGGGGGTTCTGTGCTAGTGTGGGGCCTCTCTGGGAGCCCCCAGTCCCGTTAGTGTCACTTGCTGGAGAAGGGGGTGTTGAAGAACCTCCTCCCGGGGTGTAGCTGGACCTGCCAGGTGTGGCTGCAGTGACCCCTGTGCTCAGGAGTGTTTGCCTGATGGTGACCAACAGCTCCCAGCCAGGATGGCTCTGTTGGAACAACACAGCTGCATGTAAGACTGAAATTTGGGCTTCTGTCCAAACTGTATTTTTTTTTCCCCACAGACTGGAAACCAGTTTAAAAATAAAGGCTTTAACTCTTCTTTTTATTCTTGTTTTTGTCTTGTAAATTGTTACAAGTGACATTGAAACTCAAAGTAGCTACACTTAGAGATCTTATGAGCTGAAGATCTCTGTGCACAGGAGTTACATGGGTCCTCCTGCTAATGATCATCATTGCACAGCTCTGGGTGAATAAATAATTTGACATTTTTTATGTGTTGGTACAGGAAAAAAATAAATTAGAGCTGCTTTGATGGGGAGAGGAAACGAAATTGTTAAGGGCTGTGTTTGAGCTTTGGGAGAGTAAAATTTGAGGTTCAGTCAGGCTTGTGTTTGCCTCACTGAGGATGTACTTCCCAGTCAGCTGTCTCCCTAATAACTAATTAGCTCAGACCTTTAATTGTAGACAGCACTAATTAAAGCTTTATTTATTCATTGAAAGCAATTAGGGAGGGTGGAGTTGGCTGACTGGTTCAGCACGTGCTCAGTTAAGCAACTGCAGGAATTCAATTTTTAGTCCTGCACTTACACAATAAGCTTCAATAAATAAACTGATTATAACTACATATTAATTAGTGGAATCGGCTGTTAAAGGCCTTGGCCAATTGAAGTGACAAGATTCCATACTTGGTCCCTGAAGGGAGCCCTGCACAGGTGGTCAGCAGGCCGTGGTCAGCAGGCCGTGGTCAGCAGGCTGTGGTCAGCAGGCCGCAGGCACCGGCCGGGCCAGGCGCTGCCGCAGGTGTTTGGCAAAGTCCACCTGTGTCTGGGACAGGACCTGGTTGATGATGGTCTTGGGTAGCCAGCCCTGGGGAGGAGCAGACACAGCCTGTGAGCAGAACCGGCCTCCCCCAGAGCCCCCAGCTCCCCCCAGCTCCTCCAGCCCCAGGTACCTTGAGGTCGATGCTGAGCAGCCAGGTGAGCCTGGTCTGGGAGGGGCTGCCGGGCAGCGGGCGCAGGACCATGCAGGTGGGACCATTCTCAGCCCTGGTTGGGGAAAGAGGCTCAGGTCAGACCCAAACTTGGACTTTTCTGCCTCAAAAATGCACTTTGGGCTTTCTGCAGCAGCTCCTGCCGCCCATAGAAACCCAGCGACCCTGAGCCCACAGTGCCCTGAGGGAATCTCCTCCCTGCACAGGCTTAACGGGGCTGAGCAGGGGGTACCTTATGAAGCCCTCCTGCTCGGGCATGGCCCCGTAGGTGGTGGACATCCCAGCCAGGACACAGGTGGAGCCACGTCTCCTGGAGCACCGCACGCTCACAAAGTCCCGTGGCCCCACGATGTTCCCGGGGGTCGCGGCCGCCTTCTCGTGGGTGATCACCGTGTCCTTCCCAATCTTCTCCAGAATCTGCAGTTCAGAATTAAAACTTTCATTTGAAGTGTTTAGTGCAAGCACTGCTAAAAGCTGCCTTTGGTTACCAGGTGTTCAGATACAGGGTCTGACAAAGAGTTGACAGTGACAAAAACTCCAAATACTTGCTTGCCCCCAGGTGAGAACTGTTTACAATTCCTGAGTGAAAAGCTATTCCCTTACTGCCTCTCTGATTCCTTGTGCCTTGGGGCTATTTCTTCCCCAGATCAGCCCCATTTTCCAGCAGAACTGGCAGCTCCTTGCAGGAAGTGCCTTTCCTGCAGAATTAGTCACACAGGAGCTGCTCCAGACTCGCCTCTGCTGCAGAAGCAACACAGATACTGCAAAACCTCCTCTACATCTGCAGCAGGAAATGGACAGAACACAGAGCTGGGACAGCTCTGACACACATCTCCTACCCTGACTTCTTTGACGTTGGGGTTCCAGTCTCCCATCTGCTCCATGTTGTCCACCAGCTCCCCGTACACCCTGTCCAGGGGCTGGTCCACCACCACCTCCAGCCGGAACACCTTCCCCACGTCTGGCAGCACCTTGCTCAGCACTTTGTCCCCGTTACCCTGCGGAGGGGATGGCAGAGTTACCACCAGGGCTGCTGGCAGGGGGAGGGGCTGCAAGGCAGCACCACGGGGCACAGCACCCACCGCCACTGTCTCTGTCTTCCAGTCGTCCTGGTCCTCCAGGATTCTGAGGGATTTCTGCAGGGCCTCCTCTCCTTGCTTGATGTAAGACATTTCCATCTCGCTGAAGGGTTTCTCCTCCAGCCTTGAGCCTGCAGACAGAGGCAGGGCTGAGCAAGAGCAGTGTAATGTGCCAGATGAGCTTTATCTACACCAAATACCCTTCTCTGTCCCCATGGGATGGGGATTACACCCAGTTCCCTGCCTTTGGTTCTGGAGAAGCATAGCCCATCCTCAAGCAGGTTTTCCCCCAGCCTGTGAGGGTCTCCCACCAGCAGAAGGAACAGACCCCTCAGGTGTCACTTACTGAGCAAGGAGCTCCTCCTGCGCACCTGGTGGATCCAGGCGCTGGGTCCTGGGCTGCGGCTGGCCAGCCTGCTCAGCTCCTGGCTGATGGCCACAGCAGCTTGTCTCCTCAGACCTGGGGAGAGAGCGTGTCACCCACCAGCACCACACAGCCCTTACTGTGGGTTTTTCCCCCATTTAAACATACAACATGCAAAAGTCTCTGCTTGTCACCATCTCGGTGTCCCTACAGGCACAGGGAGCAGCTGGTTGCCATCACACTGCCCTGGGGTAGGCTGTCCTAAGCAATCCTGAGCTTGAGCTCCAAGCCACTCAGCAGTAAAAACACTGAGGAGCATCATGCAGGTGCCCAGGAAAGAGCATGGAAATGGATCTACAAAACCCTCCCAGCCAGAGGGAGTGTGACCCAGAGCTGGTCACAGGGACATAAGCCAGCCCTCAGGCCCCAGTGACAGGGCTCAGGGTTTCAGGGACAGTAAATCAGAGAACCCACCATGCTACGGAGCGGGGAGAACATCGCTGAGGCCCCAGCCACCACTCTGAGGAGTTTAGGATGAAAGAGAGCCCTTTCTGGAGCCTGTGACCCAACAGCAGCTTCTCTAATAAACTTTCGTCAGAAACCCTAACTCTGCCTGTGACAGCAGGGAGAGAATCCCTGAACCCCAGGCAGCTAGAGAGGGACTGTCCCAGCATTATCCTGCCCCAAGCAGTAAGACAGGGACTGTCCCAGCCCCATCCTGTCCCAGACAGCCGAACAGGGACTGCCCTAGCCTTGTCTTGTCCCAGACAGCCGGACAGGGACTGCCCCGGCCCCATCCTCTCCCAGACAGCCGGACAGGGACTGCCCTAGCTTTGTCTTGTTCCAGACAGCTGGACAGGGACTGCCTTGGCCTTGTCCTGCCCCGGGCAGCTGGACAGGGACTGTCCCGGCCCCATCCTGCCCCAGACAGCCGGACAGCAGCTGCCCCGGACTCACCGGTCATGTTGCGCAGGTGGCGGTAGGAGATGGCGGCGCAGAGCTTGGACGTGGCTGGCAGCATCTCCCTGAGGGGCTGGAGCGTGGGCTGGGCAGCGGCTGTGGCGGTGGCGGTGGTGGTGGCAGTGGCCGGGCGGTGGCGGTGGCTGTGGCCGGGCAGTGATTTTGGAGGTGGCAGCGGCTGCGGGGGTGGCCTCGGTGGTGGCCGCGGTGTCCGTCCGTCTGCGCCGAGCGCTGCTCTGCCCCGGCCCCGCCGTGCACGGCCTTAAGTACGCGGGGCTGAAGGATTCTGCCCCGTCAGCCGCGAGATAAGAGCCGTCAGTGCGGGCCGGGCCCCGCGGGCCAAGGCCGGCCCCGCTCCCCGCGCAGCCGCGGGCAGCGCACGGGGCCGGGGGCGTGAGGGGAGCCGGAGCTGCCCCGGCCCGGGGGCACGGCGGGCAGAGCCCGAGCAGCTCCTGCCCTGCCTCGCAGCCATCCCTGCCGGGACAGAGCACGGCACGCGGACCTGGAGCAGAGCTGCGACAGGGAACAGGTCAGCGCAGTCACACCGTCATTAATGCTGCAAAAGTCCTCCAAGTGATCGAGTCCAGCCTTTGATTGGTAACGATGGATAATGAGGGATAACTTTGGGTGACACCATCTCACTGCACGACCATTGTGGAATGACGAGCCAGGCTGAGCCTCTGTGCACAAGAAGCAGGACAGCCCATAGGATAGTGAATTATAAATACACTGCTGAAGTGAGGGGCAGCCCCGGCAGCCCCCAACTCCCAGGCCCCGTTATCTGCCCCAGCAGTGGGACACGGCGGAGCAGCGATAACGCTCAAGGCTGAAATGACATTTCTGGGATGAATTACGGCCTGGAGACCAGCACTCCCAGGAACCTGTGAATTACAGCTGCTTCCTTTGACGTCAGCCCCTGCACCCTCCTGCAGGGAGCCTGACCTTGCTCCCCAATTCAACAGCTTGGCCCGGGGGGAGGTCACCCCCTCACTGCGCCAGCAGCCCGGCCCCGGGGAGCCCTTTGTCTCCCCCTGCCTGTCCCCAGCTTTTCTGAGATGATTTGAGTCCCACCTGCGTTCCAGAACGCTCCTGCTGCTCCCCAGGATGCTCCTCTCCATTGCCAGGGCTGCCATTCTCCACCGTGTGCCAGGAAACACCTCAGGCTCAGGTCAGCACCGTGGGGTTAGAGGGAGGTGCTGGAGGCACCAGGAGCTGCACTATCCCTTTACAAAACCTCTGCTGGGACCTCCTCTTTGCAGCCATGCTCCCACAAGTGTGATTCCCGGGTCATGCCACAGCTCTCCCCACCTCTGGGCTTCCCCCACCTCCCTGCACACATGGGGAAGGTTTGGAAGCCCCGAGTCTCAGCCAGGAGTGCCCAGCCCAGAGCTCTGGCCAAGCACACACTGACAGGCCTGGGACCACCAGAGACACCCCAATATTTTGCTCTGCCCCAGCCCTTGCAGGTCCCCCTGCCCTGGACTGAGGGCACACAGCCCCGGGGGCCGGGAGCCCCTGGCTGTGAGCGATCCAGGACTGTTATCCCAGATGGAGCCGCCGCTCCCAGCACGAGGCCTCGGCACAAGGACACGCAGTTGTTTGTGAGAAGAACCAAAACAAGGCACGCAGAGCCGCCCCTCTGGCTCCAGGCTGGAGGGGCAGGACCCCAGCTGTGCCCTCAGGAGGGGACACAGGCACAGCCACACCGTGCCACAGCACGTGAGGAAATGCTGCAGGTGACCGGGCCCCAGAGCAGGACACAGACCCCAAAAAGGCATCCAGAACCCTCAGGGGGATCTGGTTAACTGGGACACCCCAGCCCCCACAGCCCCCTGAGGGTCCTGCACAAAGTCACCACACAGCTCCATTTGCATTCACTTAACAGGGCTTGAAGTACAAAGGCTCACAAATGTACAAAACGTACAAAAACCAAAATGATGCCAACCAAAGGCACTGGAGCTTCACTGGGGCCTGAAGGCTGAGGGAGCAAGGAACCCTGAGGCTGCCCTGAGCCCCCCTTGAGAACATTCCCCTCTCCCTGCCCATTCCCACTGCAGGGGCTGCAGCAGGGCAGCTCTGTCGGGGTGACCCCGTCCCTCCTGCAGCACAGGAATGTCCCCCCATTCCAAGGCTGAATTGCTATTTGGAGAGCACAGACAAACCACAACCCCCGGTGCCACAGAGGGCACACCCGACGCCCTGATAAGATAATGGGCTCCAGAGCAGCAAGAATGGGTCCATGTCTTGACACCCACCAGCTCCTCATGCCCCCCAAACCCTGGGCTGCAGGGCTGGGACCCCAGCACTGGGGCTGGGCAGCCCTTGCCTCCCCCCAGCCACCACGGGCATCGCTGTCCTGATCCCCCCTCACCCCAAAACGCCCCCAAAGAGCCATCCCTGCCTGCCAGAGAATTTCCAGCCAGAGGCGCCAGCTCCATAAATGCTTTTTATTACATTTTATTAGAACAAGAAATAGCATCTCCTTGTTTAAACCTTTGCTACCCCCAAACCCACAACACCCACTCGAGCCCAATGGGGCAGGAATGTTTCCCCCCAAAGTGAGTGGTCCCTGGGCCAGTACTGGCCACAACAGCTGTGTCAGGACAGCTGTGCTCAGCCCCAGCAAGCACAGCTGGGCTCATCCTCTGTACCCCCCAGCATGGACCCTTCACCCAAAGAGCTCCCACTGCCCAGGGCAGCAGCCCCAGGTCCCACAGGGATTGTCCCTGCTGAGGTTTGCCCTTCCCTGCCCGCACCCAGCAGGCTCCTGGGGCCTGGCAGCTGCCCAAAGGCAGCCCCGAGGCCAAGGACTCTCCTCCCCACGGAAGGGCCGGGACACAGCAGGGCAAAGGACTCTCCAGCCTGACACAGCTGCAGCAGCTCCCCCAACACGGGCTGAGCAGGAGCTGGAGCTCCAGGCTCTGCCGTGCCCCAGGTGCAGCAGCTCTTCACCAGCAGGTAATTAGTGGGTTCAGCTGGTAATTAGCAGGCTCAGCTGCAGGAGAGTGGCACAGCCTGGCAGGGAGTGGCACAGCCTGGCTGGGGGGTACAGGGGTACCCAGGTTCTGCTCTCCATCCCAGATCAGGATCTTGCCACAGGCTCCAGCATTCTCTTGGAGTGAGCCCAGCCCCTGGCTGGACCAGGGGTCCCATCTGTCCCTGCAGAGCACACGGAGGGGACAAGAGCTGGCCTGAGGGGTGCTTGTCCCAAGAGAGGGGAACTGTCAGGACCAGAACAGCAGAAAACCATCGATGTCAGGATCAAGGATTTATTTACATGTCAAGGAAAACTCTCACCCAGAGTCATGTGAGGAGGAAAAAGCAAACAAACCCAAGGAGCAGTGATTTGCCTCCCAAACACAAATGCTTGCACTCCCAGTGCGCTGGGCCCTCCTCATCTCCTTCTCCAGAAGGAGACTAAAGGCATGATTTGTGTACAGTTACCAGCACCACGGAAAAGACAATCTGAAAATGAAACCCGCCTTTCTGAGGCAGTCTGTGCCTGCCCAGGCAGGTCCTGGAGCAGCCCTGGCTCCCCGCAGGGAAGGGGCAGCCCCTCAGTACTCATCCAGCGTGTCAGCCCGCGGCACCGAGAGGCCGCGCTCCTTCAGCGCCTGCACCTTCAGCTTCTCCGACTCCTGCTTGGCCTGCTGCTCCACCCGCTGCTCCTCCAGGATCTCCTCGATGGACACCTGCTGCAGAGGTGTGTCGCTCTCCTTCTCCAGGTCCTGCAGGAGAAAGGAGCTTTCAGCTCTGCACAGCACCATCACCTGAGCCCACGCGCCTTCCACACAGTGAACGGTGGGGCTGGCAGGGAACAGAGGTGCTGGAAGTGCTCTGAGGGGTGGGACGTGGGCAGGGATCCCCAGCACAGCCCTGGGAAAGGGGCTCCCGAAGCAAACAGCGCTCGGCTCCTCCTGAGCCCATCCCAGACGGTGCCCGCTGGGGCAGAGCCAGCAGGGAGGTAACAGGCAGGCAACAGTGCCACCCTCCAGCAGTGCCACACAAGCTGGAGCTTCCCCACAGCTCCCTCTGCATTGTTCTTCCTCCTTGTGTCATCCCAGAGGGGCTGTGGCAGCAGGACGCAGCCCTGCCCTGCAGGCTGGCCTTTCTGTGGTGGCTCAGCCCTGGAGGCACCTCCAATTCCAGCCCAACACAACAGCAACCACATTTCACAGCAGACAGACACACGGACAAACCACAAACCCTCCCAGCCCGGGCCCAGACTGCAGCGGGAGCTGAGCACTTACAATTTCCCCCAGCAGCACCACATTCTCGCCCCTCACCACGAAGATGCCCCGAGGGATGTCCCCATACTTCTTGCCCACGTGGATGCGCTCCACGGTCTGGTGCAACACCAAGTTTGCTGCAGCAACGAGACAGACAGAAAAACAGCGACGTTCCACCGTGAGCTGTGGCTGTGCCGTGCCCCCCGTCCCACCGGAGCAGCGCTGGCCGTGCCCGGCACTCGGTGGCTGCCCGGAGCCGGGCCACTGAAGCCACCGACGCCACTGAAGCCACAGGAGATGATGGCGATGCTGGCGCTGCAAACTCCAGCAAGGACGGAGGATGAACATCACCCAGCTCCTGCTGCCCAAAAAGCGACGCAAATCCCCAGCGCTGGATGCACCGCGGGACGGGGCGCGCCCGGCTGCGGAGAAACCCCCGCGGAGCGCCAGGTCCGGGGCACAGGACACTGAGCTTCCACCCCCAGCACAACCACGCTGGAAAGGCAGCACGGCTCCCTCCTCCTCCTCCTCCTCCTCCCCCCCATCCCCGGCCGTACCGAACTGGTCGATGCTGCGCAGGTACCCGATGAGCGTCCGGCCGTCCCGCAGCAGCACCAGGTGCTTCTCTGCGGGAAACGAGAGCGGGGCGTCGGGCACGGCCCCCGCGGCTCCGCGACAGCGCCACGCGGGGCCGGAGCGCACGGGGGGCGGCTCGCTACGGGAAGAGGGGTCCGGGCGCCGCACGGGGAACCGGGGGGCAGGACCCGGGGGAGCGGGAGCTCGAGCCCCACGGCGGGGCGGCACCGGCGGGGCATGGAGGGGACGGAGCGGGCCGCCCCGGGACACTCACTGTCGATGTCCTGGATCAGGCTGGCCGTGCCGGGCATGTAGTTCATGGTGCCGCCGCGCCCGCAGCGGAAGCGCCGCCATGCGCCGCTGCCGCCGCCGCCCCGGAACCGCCCGCGGCGGGCGGGGCCCACCCGGCGCTGCCCTTTTAAGCCGCGCCAGCCGTGCGCGCGGGGCCGCCGCCGATTGGCCGGAGCGGGAGGGGAGCGGCCGCCGATTGGGCACGGGGCGAGCTGGGGCGTGGCTTTGGCGGCGGCCATGGAGCCCCGCACGGCCGGGCCGGGCCCGCCCGCGGCGGCCGCGCAGGTAACGGGGGCGAGGGGCGGGCACGGCCCCGGGACGGACAGGGCCACGGGATCGGACACGGCCCCCGAGATCGGCAGGGCTCCCGGGGAGGGCACGGCCCCCGGGACGGAAACGGCCCCCGGGGCGGGCGGGTGGGCAGCGCTCAGCCCGGCCCTGCCCCGGTAACGGCCCGCAGGGCGGTCCCCGAGCGTCCGTGCCCGGAGCCTCCCAGCCCCGCCGGTTCTCGTGGCTCTGCTCGCGGCCCCTCCGGGCGTGTAACGGGGCGGAAAGGAGCGCGGGGAGGCGCTGCCTGCGGGGACATTTCTGGGACGCGTGTGCTGGTGCGGAGATCCCGGGAACGCGGGGAGCCCGGAGCCTGTGCGGAGCGGAGGGCCACGGCCCGGGGCTGGGCATTGCCGGGGCCGGGGCCGGGGCTGGGCATTGCCGGTGCCGGGGCTGGGCATTGCCGGGGCCGGGGCCGGTGCTGGGCATTGCCGGGGCCGGTGCTGGGCATTGCCGGGGGGGCATTGCCGGGGCCGGTGCTGGGCATTGCCGGGGCCGGTGCTGGGCATTGCCGGGTCCGGTGCTGGGGCTGGGCATTGCCGGTGCCGGGGCTGGGCATTGCCGGGTCCGGTGCCGGGGCTGGGCATTGCCGGGGCCGGTGCCGGGGCTGGGTATTGCCGGGTCCGTTACCTGCGGGGTTGATGACAGCTGGGTTTCGGGCTGCCGTGTAAATTCCGTGTTTGCCCTGCCGGAGCAGGCTCTGCTCTCCAGCCGCGATTTCGTTTGGTTTGGTTTGGTTTGGTTTTTCCTCTGGGCTGTCAGGCTGGTCCGGCCCTCCCATAAATCCCGGCACACAGGTTGTACAGCCTGCGCTCCGGGCAGCAGCTCAGGGTGGAGCGCTGCTTTGCCCGAAGGTACAAGGAGTCGTTCCCCGAGCTCCTGAAATCCTGTCCTTCAGCATCCCCTCTGCCATCAGGTGGAAACTCATGTTCCCTACACATCAGTTATGGGATGGATCCAGGTAAATCCTCGGATGTGCCATGGGTGTGCAGACCTTCCGTACAGAGACCCACACGAGCTGCAGCTCCAGGAGCTGAACACTGCCTAGCAGAGCTTATCTGTTTGAGAATGAGCAGGGAGATGAACTTCCCTGGAGAGTTTTCCACCCTCCCATCGGTGATGCAGTGCTGACATTGAATCCTCCAGGAGCTGCTCACTGTGAGGGGCTGCACACCTCCCCCTGAGCTCAGCCACGTTAGACCAGGAAAGCCTAAAACCAGGGCAGATCAGCTGGAGGAGGCTAAATGCTGCAGGAAGGGCCAGACCTTGTTCCTGGAGCACCGTGTCCCTGTCCCGTCACCTTCCCTGTGCTCTTCCCGTGTCCCCAGGCAATGGATTCTCCCTATGCCAACGGAGCCTACAGCCCCCCGTACCCGCACTACGCCAGCCTGCCGCAGGCACGGGGCTTCTACTGCTCGGGGCCCCCACGCAGCCCCTACCCCCCGGAGCCCGCCGGCCTCTACCGGCCCCCGTCGCCCGCTCCCGCCTGGAGCTACGTCCCCCCGGAGTGTCCCCCCGAGGGCTCGGCCCTCCGCAGGCAGCAGGTCCCCGGCTACTCCCCGCCGCAGGTAAGGGCACTGCCGGCTCACTGGCATGGGGCTGTGCCGGGGGGAGGTGGGGCTGGGGGTCCCCGTGGCTCTTGGGTGCCTTGTCCTGCCTGGTTTTGCTCTCAGCAGAACAGGTGGTCACGCTGTTCTCTGGAGACCCTGAGCTTTTGGGGTAGAAGAGCGGGAATTGGGCGGCCAACCTGAGCTGAGGCCGTTCTGTCCAGCTCCCAGGGCTGTGTGAGGGGGCAGGGCTGGCAGTGACCCCCTGTAACGCCTGTCCCAGGGCTGTGTGAGGGGACAGGGCTGTCAGTGACCCCCTGTAACCCCTATCCCAGCTCCCAGGGCTGTGTGAGAGTGCAGTGACCCCCTGTAACGCCTGTCCCAGGGCTGTGTGAGGGTGCAGTGACCCCCTGTAACGCCTGTTCCTGCCCTTGCAGACCCCGGGAATGCCGGTGCCGCAGTATCAATATGGAGACAGCAGCGCAGGGGTCACGGGGCAGGGCCCGGTGCCGCAGCCCCGAGCCCTGGAGGACACGTGGGGCCCCCACTCTGGTTTTGGGGTGCAGCCTCGCTACGCCTGGCCTGCCTCAGGGCACGGCAGCCTCTACGTCTCGGATTCACACCCGTCCTGGACCGGCAGTGGGGCTCCTTCCCACCCTCCCTCCTGGGAGGCACAGGGACAGGTGAGGTCCTGTTTGCATACAGAAGACTCAAACCTGTGGCTGGGATTCTTGTGAAGGACAAGATGTCCTGGGTGGGTCTTGAAATGGGTCTGACAGGCTTTCTCCGGGTTGGATCAGGAATTGACTCCATGGTTTTGGTGCCCAGGCAGTAGCAGCCCTGATGGGGGGCTCAGACTCCTCCTCTGGACAGGTGCCCCTTGCTGGGTTGGTGCTTTCTGACATGGGGAGCAGAGCACAGGTCCCTGTCCCCAGCATCCCCAGCCCTGTCCACCACTGGGTGCAGGTTGAGAGCAGAAACCCGTGGGTTGGAGGGAAATGCACTTAGAGATGTTCTCTCCCTCTGCCTGCAGGACTGTGTGTACGACAGAGCTGAGCAAAGCCCCAGCCAGCACAGTTACTACTCTGATGGCAACCAGCGGCACTCGGGGCCAGTGAACGAGCACAGGGGGGCCAAGCCTGCCCCGTGCCAGCCCCGGGTGCAGTACAGTGCCCAGCCCCAGCTCTACGACCTCGGCCCACGGAAGCCCATGGCCAGGAGCCAGGAGCTGGGCTTCAAAGCTGCTGAGCAGCCTGCCACGCATCCTGCAGCCCTGCAGCCGGAGATCCAGAGGATCCTCCACGTGATGGGGGAGGCTGAACGGCTGGAGGAAGAGGTGGATGAATTTGTAGGGAAAAAGACAGATAAATCCTACCGGCTGCTGGAGGAGATGTTGACCAAGCTGCTGCTGGAGCTGGATTCCATTGAGACTGGGGGCCAGGACAGTGTCCGGCAGGCCAGGAAAGAGTCTGTCCACAGAATTCAGGCCATACTGGAAAAACTGGAAAGAAAGGGATTGTGAAAGCACATGAGCCACAACACACAGCCTGTTGTTGAGGTTCCAAAGAGTTCTCTTAAATCTCAGCTCTTTCTGCTACGCACTATTGACAATGGAATAGCAATAAGCCCTGAGTTAACAAATCAAATCAAACCCACCAAAAAGCCAGCTCAGAAGCCCAGCTCCGACAAACAACTCAGCAAAGGACAAACGGAGAGAGGTTTGAAGCAGCAAAAGTATTTAATGAAGATGTTGAAGGAACTGGGCCAAGGATGGAGCCCTGTGGGGTTGTGTACAGAGTTCCCCAGGCCAGGCCCAATCTCTGGGTGCCTCCTACAGCCACAGCCAGTCTTCAAACACTCGTCAGATGTGCTGCAATGTGCAGCCACCAACCAGGACTCTGGGCTTGTCCTCACTGCCTGTAATTTCAGCTTCAGCTCCCTTGCCATGAGCCCCGTGTGTCCTCATAGGGGTTGTTTGGGTTTAGTGCACTCAAGGAGCAACACTGAAGTGCTGGAGGGAGGGACTGTGCTGGCACATGTCACATCCTGCTGTTCCTCCTGTGTGGTGCAGAGCCAGTGTGGGGTGTCCCTGTGGGCATGGCAACAGACTGGAAATCCCTGTTCTGCCACTGGAAAAGAGAAGCACAAGTCAAGGAAGGAACAGGGGCAGGATGCTTGGAAATGATGTCCAGGTCACTCGGGTCAGAATCCCCTGTTTCATCTCCCTCTCCATCCTGAGAGTTCTGTGTCCCACTGTGCAGCACCACGGGGAGAAAACAGCTTGGCCTGTTCCAGCCTCCTGGTTACCACCTGCACAGCACCTCACTGCTATGTGTGACGCCTAATAAACCCTGACAAGTTTCAAATGTTATTTTGTAATTGAGATGTCTCAGAGTCTCTTTTTCTTTCAAGAGAAGTGGTGGGGAAGGTTTTGTAGCCCAGACCAAAGCTCCAGCCTGGCTGTACCAATGAATAGAACATCTGAGGAGGCTGTTTTGGGGTGCCAGGGTGACCCATTGCCTCCCAGGCAGTGCAGATGCTCCAGGAGCCTCCAGCTGTGGCTCTAGAGCCAGTGTGGAAGAGGGTCTGGAAGGGATTTCGGATGCCTGAGGCTGGGAGTGCCCTGCCATGCCCTTTGTGCTGCCAGCCAGCCGAGGCCCTGGAGGCAGCTGGCAGCTCCCACATTCCCAGACAGGGCTGTGGGCACAGGACTGACCTTTGGAGCTCGTTGGATGTGTCCATGACCACACGTGGTCAGCCTGCACAGCGAGCTGGATGTCCTGGGACAGGGAAAGGCTCTGCTGCTGCTTTGTTTTGTGTCATGCAGGGAGCAGCCAGACCGAGCTGTTCCATGCTTCCAGCCTGGCAAGTGCCTCCTGGGGACCACTGGCTGTGTTGGGAGATTCATAATTCACAGTACTCAGAGAGTGCTGTCCTGTCACTGTGCTGGTGAAGCCCCCGTGAGTGCCACCCCTTCCCCCATCAGCTGCACCCATCCAGGTAGCATATTCCTGAGCAATATTGCTTGTCCCTGCCTCCTTGGCGGAGGGTTATGTAAATCCCTGGAGAAAAGCCCACGAGAGAACACGAAGAAGTGGGCTGGAATGGCAGGTTACCATGGCAGGGCGTGGGGATCCCACAGCTCCGTGGGACGGCGTGGCTGCCTGTGACACTCCAGCATCCCTGGGTGGGTTTTGTGTGTTTCCCCCAAAGCTGAGCTGGGATCAGGGGTCAGGAACACGTCCCACACCTCAGCCTGCAGGAAGCTCTGCTGTAACCCATCCCTGCCTGCTGCCTCTGCCTCCCCCACGCAGGACCAGAGTGTGTCACAGTCCGGATGATCCCAGTGGGGACGGTCTGACACGGGCAGGAGCTGTGTCAGCACCCTGCTGCAGGCTCTGCAGGGGCTCCAGCTGCAGAACTGGGGAGCTGAGCACTCCTGACCCTTCTGTTTTCCTCACCAGTCCCTGCTGTGCGACGCTGAGCACTGGGATAGCAGTTCCTGGCAACTGGTTCATCTTGCAGCATCCACTTGCAGCATCCACCCACATCACAACCCCCAAATTAGAAAGTCTGTCTCTGTTTATCGCTGGGCTCATCTCTACAGAAACCAAACTCTTACTCTGGGGTTGCCCGTTGCTTCTCCAGCGGTGCTGGAGTTTCTCAATCGCCACGGAGGCTAAAGTGTCACAGAGGGACTGAAAAACAAACATTAAATCAGCACCGCGTGGTTTCTGCTGCAATCACCCCGTGCTGGAGTGTTTGTTCATGCCTGGCACAGGGCTGGGTGCTTCCCTGCACCCCAGTGCCCTGCATCCAGCTCGGGGCCACCATCACCCCCACCTGGGCCACTGCCGAGGGCAGGGAATGCGGGCAGGGGTCACAGGGACAGGGACCAGGGGCAGGGGTCACAGGGAGAGACCAGGGAAAGGGAACAGGGACAGGGAACAGGGGCAGGGAACAGGGAAAGGGAACAGGGACAGGGGTCACCAGGGAGGGACCAGGGAGCACGGGCAGGGAACACAGGGAGGGAACAGGGATGAGGGAACAGGGACAGGGAACACGGGCAGGGAACACAGGGAGGGAACAGGGAGAGGAAACGGGACAGGAACCAGGGGCAGGGAACAGTCTGCATCCAGCTCGGGGCCACCATCACCCCCATCCGGGCCACTGCCGAGGGCAGGGGTCACAGGGACAGGGACCGGGGCAGGGGTCACAGGGAGAGACCAGGGGCAGGGAACAGGGGCAGGGACCAGAGACAGGGACCAGGGACAGGCAACAGGGGCAGGGAACAGGGAAAGGGAACAGGGACAGGGGTCACCAGGGAGGGACCAGGGAGCACGGGCAGGGAACACAGGGAGGGAACAGGGATGAGGGAACAGGGACAGGGAACACGGGCAGGGAACACAGGGAGGGAACAGGGAGAGGAAACGGGACAGGGACCAGGGGCAGGGAACAGTGACAGGGACCAGGGACAGGGAGCAGGGGCAGGGGTCACAGGGAGGGAGCCGGGGCAGGGAGCAGGGGCAGGACCGGGCAGGGGTCACAGGCAGGGATGACAGGCAAAGGGCACAGCAGGGATCGCGGGCAGAGTCGCAGCGCTGCGGGGAGCGGCTGCGGGCGGGGATCCGCAGCAGGGGCGCAGGCAGCAGCTCCAGCCGGGACTGCGGGCAGTGACTGCGGGCACGGATTGCGGGCGCTCCCCGCTCCTCCCCGGCCGTGACGGCAGGGGCGGGCCGCGGGCAGCACCGCCCCGGGCTGGGCGGGCACCGGGGCCGGAGCGGAGCCTGCGCCCGCAGCAGCCCCATGGCCGCGCTGGAGCCGCCGCGGCCGCCCCCGGCCGCCGCCGAGTCCCCGGAGCCGGAGCCCGGCGGGCGCTACGAGGCCGTGGTGCCGCACTGGTTCTACTGCAAGGTCACGGACTCGCGGGAGCGCTGGGTGCCGTTCAGCGCGCAGGACTCGGAGCGGCTGGAGGCGGCGCACGGCGCAGGTAGGGCGGCAGCGGCCGGGGGAAGCGGGCGGGGGTCCCGCGGCAGCGCCGGGCCCAGCTCCCACCGCCCTCTGGTGCTGCATCCCCCCATCCGCGCTCTCGGATCGCCCTAAGGAATGGGCCTGCTGAAGCTGGCGGGGGAGCATCAGGTGTGTGCTTGGATGCCAGGGAAAAATTCCCTGGGCGCAACCACGGCTTCGACCTGGGATGCTAGATTTTCCCTCGAGGAATTTGAAATTGGGGCTGTTTTGGCCACGTGCCTGCTCCCGGTAACCGAGCGGATGCATCAAATGGTCTGACCCCATTCAGCTGATGCTGCTGTGAATTATATATAATCATACTGCAAAGCATCCTCTGGTGAGGCTGGGAGGAAGCTGCCAGGATGGCAGGAATTCCACTGGGAGAGTCCCCACAGCACGGAGCTGTTCCTGCTGTGGGAGCAAGGATTGGAGGTCAGCTCCAAGCCCTGTGCTGAGACCCTTGTGTGCCAAATGTCACCATCTGTGCCACCTGCTGCTGCCACAGGCAGAGCTCCGATTGCCCAAGGATTGCCTCCCGTCCTCCCTCGCCCAGGAAGTTTTGGATTAGAGGCTGTGCTGCCCATCCCCGGTGCTGCTGCCTGGCCCAGCCTGGCACGGGGTGCTGTGCCACCAGCCCAGCCCACAGGCAGACCCAAAAGGCGGTGAAATTCACAGAGTTTGAGGTCTGTATTGGGGTCTGTAGAGAGTTCTCTGTTTTGGAGAGGAGCGCCTTGGAGACAGGACACCCTGGTGCACCCCTGCTGTTACACAATGCCCTTCCCAGGGCCTCAGTGTCACTTTTACCCTCCAGGCCAGGCAGGGAGAGGCCACGTAAGCATGTGCCAGAGCTGGAGGGCAGGACAGTGTAGTGTAATGTTTTTATCTTACCTTCTGCCTCTGGGGAAAGTCTGCCTCAGGGCATCTCGCCCTGGCAGCGCTCTCTGAACCTGGGTCCGGAGCACGCTGGCATCTCCCGTGGTGGCTCTGACCTGCCCGGCCGTGCTGCCCAAGGCGGTGCTCCAGCCTCTGGGCTGGATTGCAGGCCTGTGAGGACTGACTGCGGGCCCTGTTCCCCCAGGGAAGGACCAGGATGGCGTGGTGGTGCCCACCTCGGGGGGCAGGTACGACGTGCACCTGCGGGCGCGGCGGCGCGTGGCCGTGTACTGGGAGGAGGAGGCGGCCGAGGTGCGGCGCTGCACCTGGTTCTACAAGGGGGACAAGGACAATAAGTTCATTCCCTACTCGGAGTCCTTCAGCGAGGAACTGGAGGTAAACACATCTTTCCTGTTGGTTTCCATCCTGGCTTCTCCTCGTCACACTCTGCCTCTGATGTCCCAAACAAGGCCACTGGCAGGCCTGAGGACATGAACTCCAAAGAGGCTTTGGCAGGCATTCCTGCAGCTGATTGATGTAACTGTGAGCTCTGCCATGGCCTCCCCTTCCCCTGCCCTCGTCCGGCCCCGGTGCATCCTTCCACCACAGCTGAAAGTGCCAGGCTTTCCTTTGGGATGGTGCAAATGCAGAGATACATAGGCAGATGTATAAAAATACCCATCTTTGCAATAATCTCCACTCTGCTGTACCAAAACCAGTTCTAAGGAGATGGGGAAGTGTGATGCTGCTGCAAAGCAGGGAGCTCTTAAACACTCTCAGCATCCTGGTGATCCTGGGATGACCCTGCTGCTCCTCCAGCTGATTTATCTGCTTCTTTTGCAAAGTATTGATAAGAGGTTCTGAAAAGTGGGTGGGGAATGTCCCAAGAGGTTGAACATTGATGGGCATGCTTCCAGCTGACTCACAGTGGGTGTTCCCTTCTGTAGGAAGCTTACATGATTGCCGTGACCCTGGGTGAGTGGAAGAAGAAGCTGGAGTCCCCCAACAGAGAAGTCATTATCCTGCACAACCCAAAGGTGAGCAGGGCCTGGTGGTCTCTGTGGTGACATCCCTTTGGGTCTCTTTGTGCTGTTCCCTTCAAGTGGGTTTGTTCCAAAGGCATTCCACTCACCTGCCTGTGCCAGAGGAGCCTGCCAGCAGCTCCACGTTTCTTTCCAACACCTCTTTGGGCAAAGGGCTGGGCCCAGCACGGTCTGGTACCACCCCGTGTCACCCGGCAGCTGCTGTAGCTGTCCTGCTCCGGGGTCACTGACAGGCTCTTCTTGTTCCCAAGCTGATGGTTCACTACCATCCCGTTGCCAGCTCCGACGACTGGGTCTCCACCCCCATGGAGCAAGGCCGGCCCCGCACTGTGAAGAGAGGAGTGGAGAACATCGCTGTGGAGATCCCCAACGGTGAGCTGCTGCTCCCTGCACCCATCCCAAAGCAGTGTTTTCCAGCCTGATCACTCACAAAGGCTGGAGGAAGCTGCCGTGATCGTTTAAGTGAAATGCACGTCAGAACATTTTGTGCCAAAAGGATCCAAATGGTTTCAGAAACCTCCCCAGCCCCAGTGAGCTGCAGAGCTGCAGATCCAGGGGAGGGTGGTGAGCTTCCAGCTCCTGTGCAGAGACAGAGCTGCTGGGAGCTCTGCAGTGCCTGAAATGACCCCTGAGGTCTCGATTTGTAGAGGAGGGGTGTTTCTTTCCCTGCTAGGGACACAGTGCTTTATCACTTACCTTCGTGCTGGTGACTCTCTGGGGCACATGCTGTCCCCATGTCTGCAGCCAAGTGTCAGCTCTCTCCCCTCCTCAGGGCCTCAGGACATGTCCCCATGAGGACATCAGGCAGTTGCTCCATTTCCCATGGGTGCCTGCCCTCAGGAAGGCACGTATGCAGACTGAGGTGTGTGGGAAGCAGAGAACAAGCCCTGACTGCACCTGGGACCTACCTGGGAGATGCAGCTCCCAGAGTGGGCTGGGCATGGGGCAGCTGCACTGAGACCTCCTGATCCTGCCATTCCCCGTGCTGAACCATGGCTGGGCAGGGGTGAAGGGCAGTGGGGACGAGCCACCACCCCTTCCTCTATTGTCCTGTTGGTCCAGATCCACCCCAGAGCAGCTGACCTGAGCAGGACTAAGGGAAATGTGAGAAATCCCAGCAGCCTTGAGGTGTAAATGCAGGCACTAACGAGGGTCGAGGTGAGGGTGGGAGGCTCCAGCCCTGCACGGGGCTGTCCCCAGCACCTCTGGTCCCTGCTGGGCGCTGTCTCCTCAGCAGCCATGCCCTGAGCTGCCCTCCCCTCCTCAGGAGAGCCGCTGCAGATCGACCACCTGGTGTTCGTGGTGCACGGCATCGGCCCCGCCTGCGACATCCGCTTCCGCAGCATCGTGCAGTGCGGTAGGTGCCGAGCTGGGAGGGGAGCCTGGGAGGGGAACCTGGGAGGGGAACCTGGGAGGGGAACCTCACCCTGGGGCTGGCACACGCTGCCACGCTGCCTCAAACCACCCTGAGCCTGGCAGGCTGCACGGCCAGGCCTGCTGACTGCGGGCAGTGTGAGCAGAATGCCCACTGAGCACCAAATCCACCTTCTGAAAGGGTTTAGGTGGCTGCTGCTCGTCAGTTTTGCTTCACAACAGAAGCAAATTTGATACATTTCTAAAAGTTTCCTATTCTGACTGGCAGATTAAAGCCCTGCCCCTGTGAAGGAGGTACAGATGGGGCAGCAAAATCCAGTAAGCGCACGTGGCAGGGCATGGAGCCTGCCCTGATCTGTAGTTAAAGATTCAGGGACTTAGGGGAGCAGCAGCAGATTAAAGACCCCGGTGGGATTTCCCTGTAATGATCTTTCATCGTATTAAGTGGTGTTGGTGCCAGGGGCTGGCCCCAGAGCCTGGTGCATCTCTCTAAGAGTTCTCCTGTTTTGCAGTGAATGATTTCAGGAACGTCTCTCTCAGCATGCTGCAAGCACACTTCAAGAAGGCCCAGGAGCAGCAGCAGGTTGGGCGGGTGGAGTTCCTGCCTGTGAACTGGCACAGCTCCCTGCACTCCACCGGCGTGGACGTGTAAGTGTCCAGCAGGCCAGGGGATGGCAAGGGGCACAGGCAGCCTCCTGCCCTGGAAACTCCACTGTTCTGTTGGAAAAGCAAAGGGAAAGCTGTGAGTTTTTAGGGTGGGGGTGAACAGGGCAGACAGGGACCCCCAGAGCGCCTCCCCAGTCTGCAGCACACAGCAGGCACCTGCTCCAGTCAGCATCAGAGAGCAGAGGCTTCTGCCTTGCCTGGATCTTGGACATGCACACCTTGCTAAAGCCTCTGAGAGCTGAGTGCCCAGTTCTGCACTGCAGCACTGCTCTGCAGTGCCCCAGCAAGGGCAGAAAGCAGGCCAGGCTCCTGGGGAAGAAAGGGCAGGCTCCTTATTCTTGGAATGTAAGAGCACAGGCTGTGCTTTGCCTTCAGTCTGGGCATGAGCTGAGGGTCTGGATTACAACACACACCCTTGGAGACTGTGTCAATCCTCCTCTGAACTCTGAACAAGGTGGGGTTCCGTGGCTTCCCCAGCTGCAGCCCCCCGTGTCCTTTCCCCGCAGTGACCTGGAGCGGATCACGCTGCCCAGCATCAACCGCCTGCGTCACTTCATCAACGACACCATCCTGGACGTGTTCTTCTACAACAGCTCCACCTATTGCCAGACCATCGTGGACACGGTGGCCTCGGAGATGAACCGCCTGCACCGGCTCTTCCTGCAGAGGAACCCGCGCTTCAGGGGCGGGGTGTCCATCGCGGGGCACAGCCTGGGTGAGGGCTCGCCCCGGCGTGCCAGGGAGCAGGGAGGGCACAGCCACAGCTGCTCTGGCTTACAAGGGACACCTGCCACCAGAGCAGGTCGCTCCGAGCCCTCTCCCAGCTCCCAGGGGTGTGGCAGCCACAGCTTCTCTGGGCAGCCTGTGTCAGTGCTTCACCACTGTAAATTATTTCTTCCTGCTATCTAATCTAGCCTGTCCTCAGTTTAAAGGCATTGTCCCTTGTCCTGTCATTATCTGCCTGTAAAAATGTCCAGGGTGCAGCTCTTCCATCCCAAGAAGGAGGTGGCTCTTCCCCTCCAGATGCTGATGCTCTGCCCATGCCTGGTTTCTAGGGTCGCTCATTTTGTTTGATCTCCTGACGAACCAGAAGGCTGATCCTGAGGAGGATGAGCACTGTGCACAGGTATGGGAGGCCACTGACCCCACCTCCTGCAGCTGCATGGGGATGGGGCAGGGAACACAACGTGCACAGGAGCAAACTGGTGAGCAGAAAGCATGATCCCTTCTGGGTGTGTTCACAGGGGTCCAGGACAACCTCAGGCACAGGGGGTATTGAGGAAGTAAAAGAAATCCTGAAGAAGCTGGAGCTGTCCGAGTATTGTGATGTTTTTGAGAAGGAGAAAATGGACAAGCAAGCATTGGTGAGAAGTTCCCCTGTTGTACTGGCTCTTCTGGCTCTTCTTTGCTTTTCTTCCCCATCATCCCAGCACTGCACATCTTCTGGTACTGAGTCACACATGAACCATCTCTGAGGAGGAGCACAGTTCCATAGAGCAGACACCTCACCACACCTCTGCTCCTGGACTAACGCCAGCCTTGCTTATTTTCCAGTTCTTGTGCACAGAGAAAAACCTGAAAGAAATAGGAATTCCCTTAGGGCCAAGAATGAAAATACTCCATTACATCAGCTCCAAGACAGAGATGAAGGTTTGTTTTCCGCGTGGCTTGTGCTCATGCCATCACACCCCATCCCATTGCATCCCTCTGACACAAGGACCCCTTTGTGCTGCTGCAGGGCTGGAGCTCAGCAGCTCCTGGGCACGGTGCACGTGGGGCTGAGCCAAGGTCCCCATCCCAGCACGGGGACAGCTCCGAGGATGGCAGGAGCTGCCAGTACCGGGACGTTGGCTTGGGACAGGTACAACTGAGCTCTGCCTGCGCCCCAAAACCCTCGTGGCACAGCACAGGGATTGTCTCACGAGCAAATCCGAACATCCCCCTGTCCCAGGTCTCGGCAAACTACCCCCAGCTGAACTACAAGCCCACCATCTTCTTTGCCTTTGGCTCTCCCATCGGGATGTTCCTCACCGTGCGAGGAGTGAAGCGCATCGACCCAAACTACAGCCTGCCCACCTGCAAAGGCTTCTTCAACATCTTCCACCCCGTAGGTATAAGAACCAGAGCTGTCCTGCGTGAGACACGTGGAGCACGAGCCCTGGCCACTGTCCCCCTCTCGTGTGCAGTTTGACCCGGTGGCGTATCGGATCGAGCCCATGATCGTCCCGGAGCTGGAGTTCGAGCCCATGCTGCTGCCCCACCACAAGGGCAGGAAGAGGATGCACCTGGGTATGGCACGGGCAGCCCCTGACCCCCGGCCCAGGGCTGCTGCTGCAGCCCCCAGCCCCACAGCCAGCCCCCTCCTGCCTTGCAGAGCTGAAGGAAGGGCTGACCCGCATGAGCGTGGACCTGAAGAACAACCTGCTGGGCTCCCTGCGGGTGGCCTGGCAGTCCTTCACCCGTGCCCCCGTGCCAGCCCTGGAGGCAGGGAGCACCGAGGCAGAGGCAGAGGCAGAAGCTGGCACTGAGAAGCAGCCAGGTCGGTGGTGGGGAGCAGGGGGCAGCCAGGGATGCAGCCCTGGGAGCTGCCCACGTGTGCCTGGAGTCCCACATTGCCCGGCACCTGTGCCCAGCAAAAGGCACCTTTGGGCTGTGCAGGCACCTGGATCTCCCTGAATGCTGTGGCCTTCCCCTGTTAGCACCTGGTGAAGGGGTTTTCTGGGGGGCGGGGGGGGGTCTCACCACACCACGTTTTAAGCCCACCCCCCTCCTCTGGGTGTCCCTTGCACTTCAGCTGCCTCTCCCCTGTGTGAGCTGCAGAGGGGTGAAGGGAGGGCACAGCCCTGCTGTTGTATTGCCATGGCTGGTGGTGCCCTATGGCTGAACCATGCTGCTCCTCCTTCCTGCAGAGACAAAGCCAGAGGAGCCCCTGGCAGCAGTGAAGGAAGAGACCCCCCCCATCAACGTGGGGAGGCTGAACGGGGGGAACCGCATCGACTACGTGCTGCAGGAGAAGCCAATAGAGAGCTTCAACGAGTATTTGTTTGCACTCCAGGGCCATCTCTGCTACTGGTAAGTGTCTGTGCAATGCTCAGGGTTTCAAGTTTACGTGTGGTGAAGCAGAATGGCATCAGTTTCAGAGCCAGTGTACTGAGAAAAGGCTCAGCTGGTCAAGGCGAGATCTCCTGTCTGTGACACAGAGGGTGGGCACGGACAGAGGAAGGAGACTTGTGGTTCTCCTCATGCTGCCTGCATTGCAGAGCACTGCATCTACCCCAGCCATCACAGAGGGCAGGGAAGCACTCCCTTCTGATTCCCTTTCCTCCCCTGCAGGGAGTCAGAGGACACTGTTCTGCTGGTTCTGAAGGAGATCTACCAGACCCAAGGCATCACTCTGGATCAGCCTTTACCAGGAAGCCAGTGACCCACCTGTGCTGTTCTGGCTGTAAGTCACCTCTGCCTAAACCCCTTCTGGAATTCCCAGGACGCCTCAGAGGAGATCTGGTTGGTTTGGGGGAGTAAATCCATTATCTAAGGCAGGGAACTTGTTTCAGCTTTCTTTGGCCTGACAGCACCTTTGGCTTCTTTCCTCTTCCCTGCACACGAGCACAGTCAGACATGAGGAGAGGAGCAGGGAGGGTCCAGGGGGCTGGATTCTGACTGCAGCTATTCCTCTGTTCTCCTTTTGCTTTCTCAGGTTCAACCCCACAGAGTACTCACCAGGAAAGTCCAGATCTCGTCTCTGCCTTCCTCTCTCCTCTGCTGCCGTGTCCTGCATGCTGCTTCCCAAGTACTTGCTGCTGCCTGGAGATAAGGATGGATTTTCCTCCATTTTGGGTAGGGGTAGGGGGAAAAACTGTCAAGGAAAACCACTTCTGCTCAAACACCCACACCACCTGTACAGTGACTCCCTGTGGCAACGTGTACTTTTAAGCCTGCACCCTGTGAGTCCCCAGCAGCTCCTCCAGCACTGCAGCAGAAGAGCTGTCCAGGCTCAGCACCCAGCGAGGCCCTGAGCCCACAGCTGGCTCCACTCACAGCCCAGGATCCTGAGGAGAAAAAGCCTTAAACACAGCGTGGGAAGAGCTGCAGCAGCCTTGGAGCAAGGGAGATTGCTGACTGCTAACACAAACCCCCCACCAGCACTGCAAGCCCAGGAGGTGAAGCCCAGGGCTCAGGCTGCTGCAGAGCCACAGGGGCTGTCCAGCAGCCCCCTCATCCCTGCACTGCTGCTGCATGTCTGCAGCCCTGCACTGCAGCCAGGCAGGGCTGCCCTGTGAAGCACCCCGTGACAGTGGCATGCTCGTGCTCCTCCCCGCTGGGGACAGCTCAGCACCCCAGCCAGGGTGTCCCCACAGCCCTGACCCAGCTGTACCTGCTCCAGGAAAGCTTCCCCTCAGCTGCAGCCAGCCCAGGGAACAGCAGCTGCTGCTGGCAGTGCCAGGGTGAGCCCTCTGAGCCCTGCAGGGACACAGAGCTCTGTGCCCGCCACGCTCCCGTCCTGGTTTAGCTTTAAATGTACAAAACACAGCCAGCAAAGGTGGAGCCCAGACCCAGCAGGGTCTGGCCACTGCAGAAATGACACCAGCTCTGTGGGCAGCTCAGTCTGCACCTGCTTTGAAGCTCTTTTCTGAGGGGGCAGGGCTGGAGAGCCTCTGTGATCCTTCCCTGGGCACCAAAGCCCCTGGGCTGGGGCTCCAGTGCTGTGTGAGGTGTTGCTGTGCAGCCTCTGGAAGAGCCAAACCACTTTCCCTCCTGCTGACTTTTGCCCCTGCATGGGGTAAGGAGCCTTTTTCCCCCACAACCTGTTGGTTTGTTTTTCCTCCATTGTCTGTTATTTGCACTATTGGAAGGGTTTTGTTTGCAGCCTCCATCCCTCGTCCCCTCCCAAGGAACAGAAGCTGTTCTTTACCTGACTGCAGGAACAGCCAAGCTGCTTGGTCAGCACCTGACCCACTGCTGGCTAAGGTCTCGTGGGAGTAGGAAAAGGGACAGTCTTAACATGGGACACTAATGATCAGCTTTTTAAGTTATGCACTTTGTTAAAAAAAAAAAAAAAAAGAAGTTAAATACATTTTAAATGTTATTTAATGTCTTTTCCAGTAAAAGCCAAAATAAATAAGTAGATGACTGTGGTGTGTGCATGTCTGGGGGGAGAGGGAGGGGCTGGAAAACTCACATGTGCAGTTTTGGGGGAAAGTGAAGCTGTTTCTGTAATTCTATTGAAGCTGCAGAGTTATGGAGGGTGCACACTGCAGCTGCTGGGGTGGTGTTTCATTACTGACTCACCTGCCTTGCTCTGCTGCAGCCTCACCCCTGCTTTGCACCTACACACACTTAAAACCTTTCTTTGAAGGGACCAGTGACAGACAGCTGCTCCCAGAGCTCCTGCCAGGCAGCAGGCCCTGGATCTCAGCAGCACTCTGCCCTTCCCTGTCTGAGACAGACCATGGGCAGGATGCTGTCACACAGGTGCAGGGATGCTCCCAGACAACAATTCATTTTCTGCTGTCATCTCCTTGAAACTACTAAAGCTGCAAGGAAAGAGCACCCATCAGAAACCCCTGCAGACACCAGAGGAAATGGCTTATGAAGCAACGACCCAAACCTTGAAATAAAGTTTTAGTACCACAGCACATTACAAAAATTAAACTCCTTTATTTGAGAAATTAGAAAAGCTCAAAGTTGGTAGGTCCTGCATTTCATTTCCCAGGAGAAGGGCTGGGACAGCTCGGCTGGACTGCAGGGAGGTGGCCAATGGTGCTTCCTGGACTGGACACAAGAACTGCCACCAGACTGGGCACACTGGGCTGTCACATTTTCCCAGTTTGTGTTCAGGACCTTCACACCCCAACTGTCTTTGTGCAGGTTGGCACCCTGAGTGCCTCCCTCGCTTCACAGTGGGCCTGAAGAGAGGGTGGCCTACAAAATTCAATGAAATGAAGCAACACAAGGGCCAGGGCAGAAAACTCACCAGCTTGGCAGGGAACACCTGCCCAGGGGTTCATCCTCACTCCTCCTGAGCAGCTTCCCCCAAGCCTCACCCTGCCCTGGCAGCCAGGAGAGGCAGGACAGAGCCTGGCACTAAATGTTCATGTGGAAGCCGGGAGCTGGAGGCTTCTCCTCGTGTGCTGGCAGCGCTTTGGGCTTGGCCAGAGATGGTTTGTGGCACGTGGTGTCTGTCAGGGGAGGGTAGTACTGCCTGTAGCACAGGTAGGCGAGCACCAAGCCCATCACTGAGCCAACCAACACATCTGTGGGTGAGACCAGAGCAAAGTTAATGGCCCTTCATCCTCCCAAGCCTCGTGATCAATTCCTCAGCAGCAGCTTTTCTGCTAGATCCATAACCTGGCTTGGATGTAAACCCAAGCTTGGTATGTATTTCAAAACCACAGAGGAAGGCATCAGTTCCCTGCAGGTGGCAGCAAAATTGCCACTGGAGGAGTCAAAAAAAAAACCCCGAAGGTGCTGTTTGGGGCTCTGAACACTCCTGTGCCTGGAGTGCCCTGCTCAGGGCACCTGCTGAGCCCTGTCCAGGTGCACAGCAGGTGCTCACCCACCTTCCCAGTGGTGCTTGTAGTCGCAGGTGCGGGACACGCCGATGAGGGTGGCCAGGAAGAGGGGGAGGAGGAAGGCACAGAAGCGCAGGGCCCGGCCCCCCCGGCCTGGAACGAAGCTGTGCAGCTTCCCTGCCAGGTAGAAGGCGGAGAAGGCAAGACCAGCAAAGGCAACTGGAAGAGAACAGGACAATGTCAGCTCAGAACACCTCCAGGCTTTGCTGCCAGACCCTGACCCTCTGCTGCTGCAGTGGAAGGGCTGTGAGAGGTGTCTGCCTGTCCCAGTGAGCCAAGGGAAGTACCAGCTGGGACTGATGGATCCTAGAAGCTGCTACCTGGCACACATCCCTCCTTCTGGCTTGCAGACAGCTTTGGCCCACATTTCTCACCCCATTGCTTTGCAGAGAGAAACCTGAGTCCCTCTCAATGCAGCCAAAGCTGTGGGGTGCAGGAAAGCAAATCCAATCTGCTCTCCCCTGCTCCCCACAGCTGGCTGGCCAGGGCTGCAGCAGCAGGAGAGGTGGCACTCACAGGAAGCATGCCCGCTGGGGAAGCTCTTGCGGCCCTCGGTCACCCTGCGCGCGTCCCCCGTGCACACCAGCTCGGCGTTGGCTCGGCCGTCCGGGAAGCAGCGGTGGAAGAAGTCGGGCCGTGGCCTGGGACAGGGAAGTGGAGCTCAGGGCCCTCCTGTGTGGGCACTCCCAGCACCCACGGGGCAGCAGGGAGCTGCCCGTGCCAACGCCATCCTCCCCAGCCTGGGCCCAGCATCTGAGTGATGGCCTGAGACAGCGGCTCCCCAGTGTTTTGTCTATGTCTGAATTGTCTTTGCAGCTAGAAAAAAACACATTCTTTCCAGGCTGAGCATGTGCAAGTTCAGCCCCAGGCCCTGAGTGTCGCAGACCTGCCTCCCCCGCGGCGCAGCTGGGAACAGCCAGTCCTCACCTCCCCACAACGAGCTTCAGGGCGTTGGTGAAAACCCCGTTCAGGGCAAGAGCAAGGCTGGCAGCTGAGAGAGAGCAGAAGGGTCACATCAGCATCGTCCCCACCTGAGAGTGCAGCAGGGCTCAAGCTGCCTTTCCCTGGAACAGGAGGAGCTCACCAAGGCAGGCTTCCCTCGTGTCCTCGTGGTCAGCGCCCATGAACAGCCTCGCCAGGAGGATGAGCAACAAGGGGGACAGAAATGCGATGAACTGCACGACACAGGGAGAATTTTAGGTGTCAGTGAAGCAGGTTTAAGTTCTCAGCAGAACACAAGAGCAGTTACTCAAGAAGACTCTGAGCACACTTCCCTCCCCCAAAGCCAAGCAGCAATCTGTCCTCCGCAATCGCTGCAGTTCCATCAGAACAATCCCCCCCCAGCTGGATTTGCAGCAGGCCCTGATCAGCCCAGCACGTCCTTTGGTTCTCAGACAGCTCTTCTGGCAGAGTGCTGCTCTGGCTGGTTGTTGGGGGTGTCCCCAGGCACAGCACCTCAGCTCTCCCCTCCCTGCAAGCCCCAGCATTAGCGCTCTGTCAGCAGCACCCGTGCTCTGTCAGCAAAAGCTCAGCAGCTGCTGATTCAGAGCAGGCAGTTATCATCATCCCCATCTCAGCCCTGGGGATTCACCCCGGGACATCCTCACCACTGCCAGGCTCCCATGGAGTCTGTTCCCACCTGAGCTCTGGCTCTTTACGCTGCCTGTTCCAAATGCTGTCCCGAGGTTTTGTTCCTAATGTTTAGCGGCCACCTCTCGCAGGAAATCCCACCTGCCATTTGCCAACTCAGAGCCACAGCCCTTCACCTCACACCCATGACAGAGGGTGCCAATCCCTCTGACACACTGCTCTCTCCTGGAACTCCAACACAGACTTAGTCAAACTCTTCTAAGCAAGCCTAGAGCCGTTGGGAAAAGGTTTGACAATAAAATGACAATAAATCCCTGCTAAAAATAGCTGCTTGCAAGGGAAACATTCCCTGATAGTGAGAGCTGTGCTATCTTCCACACACCCCGTAAGTTAGACGTGGAATGGATTATGGACAACAGTGCAAAGTCCTCATTAGTTTATGAACTTCAAATCCCAAAGGCAATGCCTGGTAAAGCCTCAAAATATGTATAATATAAAGCCTCAAAAATCACTGTATGTTCAGCCTGGTTGGTACTAATCTCCCAGGATGGGTAGAAAGGGACCACTGGGGACCATCAAGTCCAACCCTCTGCTCAGGGTCCTCAGAGCACATCACCCAGGACTCTGTCCAGATGGATTATGAGTATTTCCAGGTAAGGAAACTCCCACTGTCTGGACAGCCTGTGCCACTGCTCAGTCACCCACACAGGAAAGTTCTTCCTCCTGTTCAGGTGGAAATGTTCCAGCCTGAGCCTCTCGCCCCATTGAGCAGAGCTCGGCTCCATCCTCACAGCCCCTCCCTGCAGCTATTTGTCCACATGGATACGCTATCCTGCACTTTCTGCTACGTGCACTAGGAGCTGCAGGTATTGCAGTACAAGCCTTTAGCCAGCAGCTTTGCTTTAAAAGGAGAGCTGGTAATTCGAGAACAAATCAAAGTAAACGCAGGAAACACTGGCACAAGCTGCCCAGGGGAGCTGTGGATGCCCCATCCCCGGAACCGTTCACAGATTATGTAGGGTCTGATGGGAGGGGGGCATCCCCCGTAGCGGGAGGGACGAAACGATCTTTCAAAGCCCCTTCCGACCCAAACCACGCGAGGAACCCACTGAACTTACAAACATGAAGACCGTGGGGACGTGGTCCGCTTCAACGTAGGGCTTTTTGTAGAGCCACATCTCCTCGGGCTGCAGCACGCGCTGGAAGGGCGGCAGGAACTCCATGATCCTGGAACAACGAGACGAGCGAATGAGGCAGGGGCAGGGCAGGGGCAGGGGCAGGGGCAGGGGCAGGGCAGGGCAGGGCGGGGGTCCCGCACCCACCCGAAGGTGGCGAGGAGCAGAGCCCGCAGCGCGGCCTCGGCCGCCAGCTCCGCTCGCCGCATGGCCACTGCTCGCCGGGGCGGGGCGAGCGCGGCTCGGCTCGGCACGGAACGGCTCGGCACGGCTCGGAGGAGGGACCGCAGCCGGGAGTCCCGTTATCCCCTCCCGCCCCGCCCCGAGACGGAACTGAGTCATCTCATCATTGGAACATTCAGAACGATTTATTGAAGTCAACCTCAAGCAAAAATTTCAGATCAGTGGAATGTCATTAAAAATCTTTCGAAAGGAATCCTCACGGAAAAGCAAAAGGGAAAAAAAAAAAAAAAAAAAAAAAAAAAAGGGAAAACAAACCAAAAAAAACAAACCAAAACCCAAAAAACCCACATCTGAATTCCAGAGTATTTGTAAAATAAAATAAAAAAAAGGCAACATCTCAGTAAATAGAATGTACAAAAATTATATGTTCTACCATCACACACAGTCAGTAAGAAGCTAAAATATTACAGGCAAGTCTCGATACGCTCTACCTAGAGGACAGGAGCTATCTATGTACAGGGAACCAGCTTTACAGGCTTCACACTATGCAAGAGGACAGAGGCCAACACAAACCCCCCAAAATATTGGATATCTCAAAGTCTATGCGGCAACATCAAGTCATGATACAGTAATGCCCCGTGGAATCAGACACTCCTTGGTGTGCCAGGGCTGATCTGCGTCCAAAATCTCTTCCATACCGACTCCGGTGAATATCGACGCTTTGCTATTAAAGACTCGAGTGATTTCGTTAAAATAACATTTCACAGAATCTACAAAGTTTGTTACAGATAAACAAAGTCTACAGAAATAACGACTCTACAAAGGTCCATCTTACAGAGCACGTGGGGATGGAGACGGATCCGCGGGGATCTGTGTTGTGCAACATCACTCGCGTGGAGACAGACGGGCTGGGGTCCTCACAGCACCCCGAATGCAACCCCCAACCCCTGGCTCAGATGGGACAGGATCACCCCAGGGGCTGTGGCAGCACCGCTGGCTTGGTGGAAAAGGAAAAGTGACACCAAAATGAGATACAGATCCGCCTGGAACAGGGAGCGTAGGGGTTTGTCCAGTCTGGTTATGACCCAAGAGTGAGAGAGAACTGCAAGGTGGGGGGCACCCAGGGACCCCAGGCAGCTGGGATCTCCAGAGGGACCCCTCCACACAGCTGGGATCTCCAGAGGGACCCCTCACACAGCTGGGATCTCCAGAGGGACCCCTCACACAGCTGGGATCTCCAGAGGGACCCCAGGCAGCTTCCTGCCCCTGGAGCTGGTGGTGGCACAGCGAGGGCACAGCCCCAGGGAACAGGGAGTGGTAAATGGCTTTGGCAAATTCATACATGTTTTCCCTTTTTTATTCACATTAATCACAGAAATCCCCTACACAAAGCACAGTTCCAGCTCCCTACCTCCCGCTCTGGAGCAGCAGGACCCCTCCCAGGGGAACACAGACCTGAGCTGCTCACTCGGAAATACAGTATCACAGGAAACAACCTTTCTTTTCTTCCTGTTTTGCCTTTTTCTCTTCTTTTTCCCTCAGAACAACACTGGGAATACATCCAACGTGTAGGAGTGTATCGTAAGTGCAAATGTTTTTTGCTACACAAAGAGAAATGGTGGGGAAAGCTGATGGGAACGGGAAGCAAAGGGACAGCATTGCTCCAAGGTCGCCGTCTCCCACGCCAACACCTGGTGAGCCAGCTGCTCCCAAACCCTCCCGTTTGCCGTGGATCCACTGTACAGCAGGGAGCAGGAAGGAACTTGGGGGAAGTCAAGGACATTTTCAATGCAGTGTACAAAAAATCATGTATAAATAAAAAAAGCTGTAAAAGGAACCGCAGAGCTTCAAGTACATTAAACCCTGAATTCAATGAGGCAGAGGTTTCCATGTTAAAGTGACTTCTCCGTACCAGCGTCGGACACCCCCATCCCACCCTCCCCCCTCCCCACCCACATAATTCTGTAAAGTTTCAATATATACAGATTTTATGCTCATTGATAATTACGTCTAGTAATTGTGTCTTTCCCATTCTATCCTGAAATTAAGATAAAAGAAGGGTTTTTTTAGAAGAAAGGCCAAAAATCCACGTTCCAGCCCTATTACTCCATTTGAATTGATTCTCCAAGACCATGTGGTGACCAGAGAAGGTGATTTGCCCACGAAATTTCCTTCCTGAGCTGCAAACTCCTTCAACAGTCTAGGGACAGGACAAGTCTATACAATAATCTGACAGCTACAACAGCTAATGCTTGCACCACGTGTTCAGGAATGTTGGAACCAGCCTCTGCACCACTGGAATCACAGAATCGTGGAATTCTTGCTTCTAGACTCATCTGGCCGTGGGCTGCAGGATGCCTGCACTGTGCCCAGGTGCAGCTGCAGAGGAGAAGCTCCAGTAAACCACAAACCCTGTTCCCTGGCAAGGCAGCTCAGGCACTGTCCAGGTGCCACAGCTGGAGGCAGGAGGTCACCAGAAGTGTGGGGCCATCCCAAAAATTTAACACAAAAGAAAGAGAAAAACATGTCGGTGTGTTCCCACGAAGGAACAACAAAGTGCTGGGACAGCACACTGCAGTTCTCCACCAAAATCACCAGTTCTGTGGATTTCCCCTAGGTCTCAGCATGAAATGACCCAACTATCCAAGATTCCTTATTTTGGAGCCCACACAAATTAATTCAGCAGCTGCCTCCCACTCTGCTGAAGCCAATCCATCAGAACAGCTGTGCAATCTTTTCCTTACAAAGGAGCTGCACTAAGCAACTACATTCTGGTTACTCAGCTTACAAAGACATGGTTAAAATGTACATTTTAGCATCTGAGCCTGGCACTCAGAACAGCCCCTGCAGTCACCAGGATCCTCTGAACTGGCCTTTTCTCATCTAACAATGTTAAAGCTTTTTGAAAGACTCACCGTCTCTTCAGTTCAGAGTTTGGTTCACAAACTGAACAACCTCTCCTGCTTTCCCTTCTGAGTCCAAGCCCAGCTGCTGGCTGCTATGAATCACTTTTTGGTGGAAAAAAGAAGCATCTCTAAGAAGTCTGAGCACAAAGTGAACCAAGACATTGAGCGGCACAGGATGAGCAGCAGCCTCCATCACAGCATTTGAAAAGTTTAAAGCCTTCTGTGCCCTCCCTGTGTCCTGTGCCCTGGCACAGCACTGTGGCACAGCCAGGGTGGCCACTGGCAGTCTGTGGCTCCTGTCCAATGCTCCCAAGGTGTCCTGGTGCTGCCACACCATGTCCTTCTGCTCAGCAGGTCACCTTGGACACGGAATGCATGGAGCAGGTCGGGGCACTCACACAGCAGCATGATATCAGCAACATATCTGATATATATATATATACATACATACATACATATATATAAATATCAGCTGATAGATGCAATATCAAAATGCTCTGACTTCAGAGAAAACCACTGAACATTATCAAGCCTAATAAAGAATATAAAGTGAACACCTCAGGCCCTACAGACACGGTAGCAAGAGCTGTGTTTGGAATTTCTGAGAAGGTTAAACATCCTCAATAAGAGGTTAAAAAGAGACATGTCCCACACAAAATGTTAAGAAAAATAAAATCCTTTTTGTACCTTATTCTTTTTCTTTAAAAATACCAAAATCCAGCACTGCTTTCCAGCAGGGTTAGTGTTGGACCCTCACTGGAGCATGGCCCACAGCAGGAAGTGCTTTAGGGATCCCAAGAGCTGCTGGCCCAGGAGTGCCCCAGCCACCCTGGGGTCTGGCACCCCAAGGGAGGTGTGGGCAGGTGCTCTGGGCCAAGTCCAGGCACAGCAGCTGCTCAGGGACTGTAGTGTATCCATCACTCTACCATTGCACACACAAAAACTCCCCCTGTACATCAGTTTGAGGATGAGAAAGACACCAGGCAGAGGCAAGACATGTCCTAAATTCCACACAGACTTCTTGATCTGAGAAGTCTCTGTGTTCCCACAGGTTTGTGTAAGGAGTTTTCCAGAGACAAGGTTCTTAATTCCAAGGCTCAGTTCAGCCAGATGCCAGCAACACTTGATTATTTTCAGTACCCACGAGCAAAGGGTGGCAGGGAGTAGCTGTTATCAGCACACAAGTCAGAAGTACTCATTGTACCAGGGCAGGGGGGGACAGTGCTTGGTGAGATTGTGGGCTGGGGGGGAAGAGTCACCAAAACTAGCTCCAGCCTGGGGACACCAGTGCCCTGTGGCTCCTTGCACAAAAAAATGGAGGAATATAGGTTTTCTAAAAAAATTCTGGAGCAAGAGGCAACATAAGCCACTTTGAAAGCCTCACTGAAGGAGTCTATCTCTCTGATTAACAGAGGAAATCCAAGACAGAACCATCCCCTGAGGCATCAGCTGGCTGCTGGGATGTGGCCCCTTCCCCAGACACAAAATACCCTGTTCATTGAGGAAGTGCTGAGATGTTCCTCAGCTCCATTAACAATGAAGATTAAAGTTAGAAGATCTCTCTTAACAAAAAAATATTAACACTCCATCGAAACCAACACGCACATGGGTCAGGTCCCCCACATGCCCAAGTCTCCCTGAAGCCAAGGGGAGCCTGAGAAGGCAGGACTGAAGAATCACTCAGTAACTGCCACCAAACCACGTGAGGAACCCACTGGCAGGACTGCCTTCAGCTCTGACTGAGGCTGGGAGCCTCTCCTGCCTGGGAGGGGTTTCCAAAAGAGGTGAGATAAAGAAATGACCACTGTGCAATTAAACTCTGAATTTTTGCGTGTCTGCAAACACCCAAGACAGCTCTGGAGCAAGGCACCACCATTTCTTCCCCACTGTCAGACCTTGTGTTATGAGCACTTCCCAGAAGTCACACACCTGATTTCTCACAGGAAAAGCTTCACAATAATATTCATAAGTAAACATGAGAGACAACCTACCTTCTCCAATGCCTTTAACAATAAGTACTGGAACAGAGGCATTTCAGAGCCACCTGGTCTGACACCCACACCTGTCTGTTTGGCATCTCAGTGTTACAGAGGGGAGAGGCTTTGCTCTTTCCATAAACTAGACACAAAAGTTACGTTGGCTTCGCTGTTTTGTTTTTAAAGACACGATGACTGATCAAAGCCAGATCTTCAACACCCTTTCAAAATTAAATAAATAAATATGTGGCTATGCTTTGCTTTCTACACTCAAAGAACATTATTTTAAACAGAATATTCTTTTCACTGTCAAAAGGTTTACGGTTTTCTTCAAAGGCCAAGACGCTCCTGGTTTCCAACAGTAAGAGCTGCTGTAGCACATTCAAGGGTAAAAGAAAGACCAAACAATAAAAACCAAACACCACTGCCTGGTCCTTCTCGCTCAGGTCAATGGTCCCATTCCAGCTCACACGCGCCGGCTCCGAGGACAAAGCCGAGCGTGGCACTGCAACCTCTGAGTTCATCGCCTGCTGCCCCTCTTCTCCCCTCCCGTGTTTGTTTTTAACCAAATTCACTCCTTTGCCTCTTCCACAGCATTCTGTGCTTCCAATTTGCACTTGATCTTGCTCCAGTACTCGGGTGCCACAGGAGATTTGGGGTCGTGCGCGGAGCAGCAGAGGCGGCCGTCCAGCGCCGACGGCACCAGCGCTCCCTTCTCGTGATCCTTGCAGAAGGAGTGGGGGCAAAACTCACAGAAGGACACGGCAGGATTGCTACAGATGTCACACTGATGCCACGGACATTCCCACTTTCCTGAGGATGGGAGGAGAGAGAGAAAGGAACTGGAATTAGTGCACTTTGGAGACAGCACTGGCCTTTAAGCCTCACTCCATGTTGGATTGCTCAGATGAAGGCAAAGTTCAGAAAAATCAGCCACTACTTCTGTTTCTCACGTACAAGACTCTGACCGAACACAGCTCTATTTTGCATTTTTTAGGCAAAATAAGAGGAAGTTTGATTCAAGGAGAGGAATAAGAACAACATTAAAAAGTATGACAAAGCCTCTGCCCACCGGTTCCATTTAGGAACAGTCACCTGATGTACTGCTAAAAGTGAGTGGTATTGCAAAGGCAAATTTGGTGCACTTAGTGCAAATGAATACTGCATTTAATGTAAGTGAACGCTGCGTTTTATGTACATGAATGCTGCATTTCATCTCCAACACTGTCTTGCAGCAGGAAGGAAAAGTTGAGCAGGAGGAGCCACTGTTCTTACCAAAAGGTGGTTGAGTCAGGTTAAGGCATAGGAGGTGGTATGCTTTGGGACAGTCCTTCTTATCACACATGACCAGCTCTCCCCCATCTCCACACTGGAAACAGTTATCTTCATGCATCTGCTTCTGTTCTGTTTTTATTTTCCGTTTCTTCTGCTTTAGTTTTGCATTTTTCACCTTCTCTTCATTTGCCGTTGCAAATGCTGTCTGAGAAGGAGAAAATCACAACACAGAGTCACTTATAAACCCCCAGCATTCAAGTAAATTTTGGGTTATTATTTTCATGAATTCTTCTTAAATGAGATCCACTTAAAACAGTTTTTAAACTCTAAAAGCCAGAAGTGCTCATTCAGGTGTTTCTGAATTAACTTCCCGCCAGACACAACAGCATGGCAGGGCAGACTATAGAATCTTTGGAGACTTCCAAGGGTAGAAAGTATTAGAATTCATTTTGAAATGAATCAAAACCCTCTTTGCCCTACAGAATCTCTGGATTTGGGAGGAGAAGCTCCAGGTCCATCCGTGTACCTTGGGCCGCACTCCCAGGAAGCCGCTGCAGTTCTCTGCTCCGCAGTGACACTCGGTCCTGCCATTGCCCAGGCAATCCAGGTTGTAATTGAATGTTAACTCCATTCCTGAAATGTAAAGATAAACAATTCACCCACATGGACACTGAGGGAAGACAGGCCTGTGACAATGACATTTCATTAGCATTTGTTACCATGAGACCCCTGCTAAAACTGGAGCTTTAACTATCATCTCCATTCCAATGAATGAAAAGTTCCTAAACACTTCACTGGAATTAATCATTTCAAAGAAAAACTATGATTCTAAGTGAGGAACTTGGCCACTGCAAAACAAAAACAAACATGCCAAATAGTGCATCCTTTTACCTGCAGGAATGTCACAAAGAGCAAACAGTCCAACTCTAATGTCACCATTCACTGTCCACTTCTGTGTTTCACAGTTTGGGTTACAACTATGGTTCATAAAACGAGAGTAGTTCCCCTTTGGGCCAGCATCTATTATTCGGTCCTTAAAGGAAAAAGACAAAGATGTGTTTAGTACTTACAAAGCAAAGAGGTTTCCTGCTGTGGAGTGACATTTGCTATCAAACAAGACACAATATTCACCTTGGTTACAGTTAGCATATAAAAGTTGGTGACGCTGTTCTCGTGAGCACGTTTGATCCGCAGCCGGCACTCCTCCTCATCAATCAGCTCCCCAACATATTCATTCACAAATTCACCCTGCAAAGGAAAGGAGAACAAAAGTAAGAAATCTATGCATCCTAACCACGTTCATAAAGGGAAGCACCACAGAAAAAAGCATTAACTATAAAAAAAGACTCTGATCATCACAAGAAATGTTACACTTTACTGGTCTGGTAGGCACAGTGTGAATACATGCACCAGGTAATTGCTGTCCTAGCAATACAGCCAGGCAGAATAAAAGGCAGCCCTGTTCCTGCATTCAGTACACAAGACAGTTGTCAGGTCTATAAAACCCTTTCAACCTTCCTGCTTTCTTTCAAAGAGGACAACGTGACAATATTCACAGACTCCTCAGGAAACAGGAACTGTTACAGTAAGTATTTTCACTACATCACTTTTATTAGGACTTTAGTAGTCAATAAGCTCAGAACATTTGCAGTAACACAGTTTTCATGAAGCACAAATTTAAAAAGTACTGAATTTAATAAAATTAATGGCTAAATCCCATGTTTAAAAGCAGCCCTTCAGGCCAATAGTGTTTTCTAAGGAAAATCAGAGCTGGGATGTGATTGACACATCGATACAAAGTCACCAATGCATTGGGCATCACTCTGAGCAGCCAGGCAGCTGCTGAGGGGTTAAAACAGTTCACTCTCTGGAGGTGCAATATTGTACTTGTGAGGTGCCCAGATGAAGGAAGGAATGATGAATCTGACTCCATGTTCTTAGAAGGTTATTTTATTTTGTGTTACTATATTATATTAAAGAATACTAAACTAAGCTATACTAAAGAATACAGAAAGGATATTTACAGAGTGTCGCCATGATATTTTATGAAAAATCCTTTGCTAAGATTTTCTCCTGAGAAGCTGAGGAGCTTCAGGAAATGCAAACAATAACTGTCTGCTGCTGTGGAATGCAACAGGTGCCTCTTCCATTGGTCCACGTGGATTGTTTTCACTTGATGACCAATCAGAGCCACCTGTGTTGAGGCTGTGAGCAGCCACAAGATTTTGTTATTCATTCCTTTCCTGTCCTTTCTAGCTTCTGAAGGATCCTTTCTCTCTATTCTTTCAGTATAGTTTTAGTATAGCATGTTAATATAATATATATCATAATATAATAAATCAGCCTTCTGAAACATGGAGTCAAGATTCTCGTCACTTCCCTTGTTCTGGCACCCTCAAACACAACCATAACAAAAGGTTAAAAAGATAATAATGAAAACTTGTCTCGACACAGCTTGATCCTGACTGGCTAATAAGTCAAAACAACTCACATGAAACCAATGAAACAATCACCTGTTGGTTAACAATCTCCAAACACATTCCAAAGCAGCAAAACACAGGAGAAGCAAACCAGATAATTATTTTCCTTTTTCTCTGATGCTTCTCATCTTCCCTGGCGAAGGGATTTTTCCAGAAAACACGACTGTGACAGCGCAGAGTGCAACCTTTCACCCACCCCCACCCTGATGGCTGTCACATCCCTGTCCAAAAAGGCTGGCTGTACCTTTTTGATGCTCCTCTTGGTGCGGAGGCCCCAGCCGCGGCGCTCGGTTTTGATGATCTCGGCGTCGGGGTAGAGCCTCTTGGTGAAGCACTGGTTCTGGCAGCGCTCCCCAGCCGGGCACACCTGCGGGTGGCACTCGTACTGCAGCATCCTGTTGAGGCACTCGGACTCCAGCCCGCACGGGTTCTCGTCCGAAGGCTTGCAGTTACAGCGTGGGATCTCCGACAGGTCGGCCACCTGGATCTGCACCTTCCCGATCACCTTGTTGGACTGGGGAACAAAGGGCAGAACAGGGGGTGAAGGCAACGCACTGGGAACGCAGAGTCAACGAGCGACACGGAAAGGCAAAGAAAAAATTATGTTATTCTGTGTTTTACGGTACTGTAAAACACAAGAAGAGATCAGTGAAAAGAAAACAAAATTATTTACGTGGATTTTGTTACGTTGCCACTGTTGAACACCTTGGTGTATGTACACAACTTAAAATCACAGAATAGTGTGGGTTGGAAGGGACCTTAAAGACTAACCATCACAACCCCTTCCACCAGACCAGGCTGCTGTGATCCCCACCCAACCCATCCCTGAACACTGCCGGGGAGTGGGTAGCCACACCTTCTCTAGGCACAGAGCAACTTCCTCACACACGGAATAAAAATAAAATAGAAAAGAGGCCAACTCACTTTAATGTGTTTATAGGGTGGAGGCTTCCTTGAATTCCTTTCAATTTCCAATGCCTCTTTGCTTTCTCTTTGTGCTTTCAGTTCCTGGAAACGCTTTGCTGCTTCTTCAAGTGCTGTGCAAGGAATTCAGAATAGAAAGCAATCAGCCCCAGCTGCTGCTAATCAAATATGTACATGTACATCTATTTAAATTTTTTTTTTAAGACTAGGAACAGAACTCTATTAACAAAAAGACAAGCTAAAAATTAGTTATTGCGATTTATCATGAATTTATCATCAGGTACTTTCAGCAAGTACCAAGATACTGAACAATGATCCCATGCAGCAGAGCCCAAGATCCATCTCAACATTCCCCCGTTTGTGGAAGCACTGAACTGGCCCACAACAACACACAATGAGTAGGCACTCAAACACATTTTTATCTGCAGTCAAGGGATCAACACAATGCTTGGATTTCACGTGAACACAGAACACTAGTCACATAATATTCCCATGCAGGTTAAGTGGTGATGGAGACACAAACACGTGGAATTTTTGTCATAAACCACTATAAACTTTGTTTGATTTTACCTTTCTTGAAGGTCTTGTTAATACTAGTTTGCCCCTCAGCAAAGCTTTTATCTCCTTCAACATAAGGGAAAACTCTGCCCTGGTGTACCCAATAGTAGTCATGTGAACCAAAGAAAAATACTGGGAAGTCCCCGATATCATGTTTGAGGCCCTGTATGTTGAGAGGCACAGACCTGGGATTGCAGATCTCTGCTGGCCACCACCTGCAGAGTAGGAGAGAAAAGAGCAATATAAGTTCCCTGAACCAGAGCTTCCCAGTTTCCCCAAGGGGATTGAGACATAAAAGCCAGTTTTCCTCTCTCAAGGAAATTAATTCCTCCCTCATGCAGCCAAGGCTCCTGCTGGCAATGCCTGGGAAGCTCCATGCAAAACACAAGCAATGTTCTGACTCCGAATTCTGGGAAAGCCTTCTAAGAATATCCATGGCCTGAGAGTGGGTTTCCAGGATCACCTGCAAACACCTGTATTGCTGCAGCTGACTAAAACAAACACCAGCAAGGACAGCTGGGCTCTGCCAGCCCCTGCTTTCCCACACCCTGACCACGCTCTGCAGAGCAAAGGTGTGTGCAATCCAGAGTCCAGCAGCACCTGGGAGAAGCAGGAGCATCACAGTTCAAGGTGACATCCATGTCTCACCCCAAGCAGAGGAATATTGTATTTCTAACTCTTGTTCACGGTGACTGAGCTGCTTTATCTTCCTGCAATTCCAGAGTACATTAAAACACCCAAAGCATTAGAACCCCCAAAAGGTGGACTTGCCTGTAATTCCCAAGCTTGACCCAAACGATCTGCTTGTACCGCAGCTTCTTGCCAGCTTTACAGTCATTGCAATTCCAGCATCCCTCAGGCATTTCTATGCTGAGACACTCGGGGTGGAAGGAAGCTGGGCACGACTCACAGCACAACAGTTTGCCACCTTGAAACAAAGAAGCCCTGCTTGGTTTGTAGAAGTCAGGATTTGCTTCCCCCGTGCACAGCAATTGACATTCATTTAAAATCATCCACTCCAGATTCCCACTGCCCCACAGAAAAATGGCAAAAGAAAGGGATCAAGTCAAGCTTAACAATGTTGGTTAAAAAGGACTGTGTAGGGCTTAAACTAAGCTGGGACTCTTGACTGCATCAGACAAAAAAGCAGCTGAGGACTCAAACACGAGGGGAGCTGGCAGGAGGAGCACCATTCCCAAGGGAAGCACTGCAGCTGGGAACAGTGCAGAGCTTTTAGTGCTCTGGAGATGGCCAAAGAAACCACAAAACTCCACATTTTTAAAGAATCCTTTTCAATCAACATTGCTCTGACTGAATCCCCAGCAATCATCAGCGAGCACCAACCCCACAGCCTATAGGTTGATCAATACTTTTCTGCTGCAAGGACAGGAAAAAAGAGTTGTAATAAGTGTCTTTATTCCACAAGAAGTTTACCAGGATGAGCCAGGTACATAAAGCAGAATGAGACACACATGAGTTGTCCCCATCCCAAAAATTCTTGGTGCACAGAGGGAATCTCAGCACTGGGGTTCAACGAATTTCTGAAGTTCACACTAATTTGGGCAAAAGTTATTTTGATTGGCTCACATTTTGGATGATGTGTGACATGTGGAGAGCCACACCACATCTTTAAGCCACCCTCAGCAAAGCAGCTCATGTAAGATGACTTGAGACATTACACATACTGTAATATTTTATACATGTAGGTATATAAAATATATATACATGTGCTTATATGTATATATATTTAAAAATCAACAAGATTTTGTGTCCCAGATGGAAAATCTGGGAGAGATTTGAGAGTATTCAAACCAATTATCACAGTATCAAAAGATGTGAGACTTTCAAACTTTTATCAGAAAATCTTGTTCACCTATAGACTTCCCAAAATATCATTGCATTAATTGTTCACTGCATGTTACAATAAGCATTCCTTAAACAATTCAGTTGCATGGCCAACACTGTATTTCCTCTGCTAAAACCAGTGAAATCCAGTCACATGGATACTCCAGAGCTCCCAAACCCATAATGAAATTTTTGAAGTATTTTTTGCAAATGTAATTTCAGAGGAAATACAGACAAATTACTGAAACATTATCCAAGATGAGAAAATGCCAAGAGATGCAAAAATCAAACAAAATCAAACACAAAACTTTCAATGCTAAGCAAGAAAAAACCCAACATTGCTCTCGGGATGCATTAGGCAGATATGGCTCAAGCTAAGCACAGGGCTCAAAATAATTCTTGTTTTCAGGAATTACAGGACTACTGCAAGCCATTGATGTCACAACGCTGACAGCGACCTAACTTGGGCTGGGAAATGGGGCACCGGCTCTGAACGCTCCCGGGGAACCAAATTTCTGTGGGGAATGAAATACCACAGCTGAGCATTGCACACAGACAGCAGGAACTGCCCCCAGGGGTCTGCAGAGCCTCAGCCCCCCTGGAACCAGGAACTGCCCCCAGGGGTCTGCAGAGCCTCAGCCCCCCTGGAACCAGGAACTGCCCCCAGGGGTCTGCAGAGCCTCAGTCCCTGGAACCAGGCACTGCCCCCAGGGGTCTGCAGAGCCTCAGTCCCTAGAACCAGGAACTGCCCCCAGGGGTCTGCAGAGCCTCAGCCCCCCTGGAACTGCCCCCAGGGATCTGGAGAACCTCAGTCCCTGGGCAGCAGGAACTGCCCCCAAGGGATCTGCAGAGCCTCAGCCCCCCTGGAACCAGGAACTGCCCCCAGGGGTCTGCAGAGCCTCAGTCCCCCTGGAACTGCCCTGCAGGGATCTGGAGAGCCTCAGTCCCTCAGGAAGAAGGAAACTGCCCCCAGGGATCTGCAGAGCCTCAGCCCCCAGGAACTGCCCCCAGGGATCTGCAGAGCCTCAGCCCCCTGGCAGCAGGAGGTGACCCTGTCCGGAGCTGCGGGGTCCCTGCGGGGTCCGAGCCTGGCTGTAGCAAGGACCCATCCCCAGGGGAGGGGACAGGCATGGGGCACTCTGGCTCGGTGGTGGAGGAGGGACACGAGGCTCGGGGACTTGTGGGGACACACTGAGGCCAAACCTCCCTGCCCTCCTGCTCTGGCACTGTCCAGAAAGACACGGCACCCACCCTTGTCCAGCCCCAAGTGCCCTCTCTCCTCTCAGGACCTGCCCAAAGTCCAAAGCAGCACATCCCCCCTCTGCTTCCAATCTGTTTAAGAAGTGGTTTGACATCAGCCAGGTAAATACTGAACTGCAACAATATGGAGATTCATTTGCCTCCTCTTCACACTGCTGTGCAAACAGCTCCCGAACCTGGAACAGCCCAGGCCAGACAGAGAGTGACCAAATCTCTTCCAAGGAGAATTTAGAGACAGCAATTATTTTAAGCCCTTTTATAATTAAAAAAAAAAAAAATTAAAAATCGCCAACAACATGAACACAGGCTCACAAAAACCATGAGTGAAGGTCACTGAAAGCAGTCAGTGTCAGGGGACAAGCAGACATTTCTCCGTTGATTTAGAGAGAAAAAATAGAAAAAGCGAAAGTAAATTAAAGAGAAAGAAACTATTTTGGTTACCTTTCTCACATTTCTTTTTGGAAGCTGACGAAGGAGGAGGAATCATAGGTAATTTCATCAACTCAGCACGATTTGACTCATTCAGTAGGTAGTGGGACTTATAGGCATAGGAACTGAACAGGGGGTCTGAATGGTCCTGCACTACCAGCCCTATACGAAACAAACAGAAAGAGATGAGTTGCAATGAAACTACCCATGATTCCATGAAGGAAAAACCAAATACACCCAATGAACACCTCTAATGCGTTATGTGGGAATGACAAAAGGATAAAATGAAGAAAAAGGAAAGTCTGACAAAGTTTCTGCGCTAACAAAGAGGTTGTGCTGGAGAGACTGAAACTTAACTGGAAAATCTTGCAATGAAATAAGCTGCTTCTAAGTGGAATTTCAATTGGTTTTTTACCCTTCATGTGTGCATTTATAGACAAGCACAAGAAAAGCAATAAAGTTTGAATCCATGGGATCCTCTCTCCTTCCCACAGGGCAAAAGGAAGCTCCTCTGCAGATCTGGGGTGATGGCCACTGCAGCTGGGCCATGCTCTGAGCTGGGGCTACAGATAGAACAGACATTGGGAATGAGAACTCACCGTCCCACTCCCTGAAAATCTACCCCTGAGATCTTGTCTATGGAAGTGATTTGCCTCTGTAATTGTGCTGGAAAGCAAGAAGGAGGTCAGTGATCTGCAAGGCACCAACGGGGAAGCACAGATGGAGGTTCTGCCCTAGGCTGTGGTGGTGAAGCTCCCCCTGTCAGCCCTCCCAGGGCTGCTCCAGAACAATCCAACTCAGTTCTCTACAAACTCCATTCCAGGCCTTTGCAATTCTGTCCTGCACCAAGAAGAGCTTTTCCTCCTTACTCCAAAGAGCCAGGCAGCCCAGCTGAGAGCCCAGAGCTGCGAAGCAGAAACGCTTGGCCAGTAACTCATGGCAAGAGCAGAGCAACTGAGCCCCAAAGAAACAGCAAAGATCAGCTACCAAGAGAGCCCCCAGTTCTTCCCCTGAGGGACACACAGCTGAAGGCTGGAGAGAAGCTCTTGGATGGTGCCTGAAGCACTGCTGTAAGAAGACTGGGGTCAGCCCACCTGGACAGGCATCGTGGGGAGGATTCCTAAAGCAAGGGAACCTACACATGCAAAGAGGTGAACTGCACCATGCTGACTGGAGGGTTACTGCAGGGTGGTGAATAAGAAGTCTTTAAATATCTTGTATTTCAAGTACCTCACTGTAAGCAGGTTTGTATATCTTATAGATTGTCTTATTCCTCACTTCAGTAACTGCATCTAAACACAAAGTCTCTGCTTCTGATAGCAACTAACACTAATTAAATCACCATTCTCACAGAGATGCCCACGGATTTCTGAAATGTTCAGTTCCCTGCTTCTTTCTGAGCAGGTGACTCAGTGCTCCTGCCCCAGGCACTGTCCTCGGCACTCTGGCTCCTGATTCCAGCCAGGCCTGGTGGAACAAGCCCCACAAGAATGCTCTAGAGGAACAAGTACAGAGCTACTCTAAGACACAGGATTCAGGCAGTGGCAATGGTTTGTTACTGTTCAAGTTCTCCTAATTAAGACCTGGGGAATACTCAGGACAGAGAATTCCACCTGCCAGGGCACAAGAGGTTATTTGGATTGTCAGGAGAAAATATAGACTTGTGCATGGAGCCAGATGCAGGTAAAAAGAGAATTACTAAACAAATGTAAAGTGGAAGAAAAAAAAAGAGCATGAAAAATTCCTTCTGCATTTCTTGCCATTCTGAGATGTGTAATTATTCCTCTGCTCTTGCAAAGTCAAGCCAAACTAAACTTCCACCTGAATGAACACAAATGAAAACAAGTAACTTCAGGATCCAGCTCACTTTAATTTCCCTATTAGTGACTCTCAAAACTGCTGCAGAGACCACACCCAAAATAAACTGCTGGCATTCTGTACATAGTTCCAACAGAATAATGGTACTTTTGAATCTTGAGACCAAAGCAACTGCTGCACCGACATTTTTTTAAGCTGCTCTCTGGCAGAACCCTGGTGACTGAAGAACCATAAAAGTAACAAGTGGGGAAAAAAGTTAAAAATAAAAAGAAAAAAAAAGGACTTTGACACATGGAAAAGCTCAGCATGAAATCTGCTCATACAGTACTGCTAAAGGTTTTCTTTCAAAGTTCTCAAATGTGAAGGCAGTTATAAATTCAATTATTCTAGTTCATGAGTAAATCCCACTTTTCAGCCTTAAAACTTAGACAGTTGTAAGTTTGTAGCAGTGAAAGAATCTCCTTCTGCATAATACAGTGATTAACAACACAGCAGCCATTCTCAGCATGAAAAGGCTGGAATGGGGGGATTGGGATCTGCTTTCCCCTGCTGGCAGAACAAGTGGACCTGAGTGCCTAGTGCTGCTTCTGGTATCAAATGGACCAACACAGCGAGTGGAATCTCATGAGAACTGCTGACCAAAATAAAATAAAATAAAATTACATAAAAAATCCCAGGCAGCATTTAACCCCAGCAAGCCCTAAGGGAGGAGTTCCTCATGAAACACTATTTTTATCACTAAACTGCACAAATGACAACAGAACTATAAACAGGGAAAAACCAAGTGTCTCACCTCTTGCACAAACGAAACAAAAGCCTACATTTACAGCTGATGAGGAGTGAGTCCTTTTGGAATGGTTACTACAGATGAGGATGTGGGATGACACAAACAAGCTTCCTGCAGCAATGCAGCCGTCTCCAGAGTGATAGGCCACGGGGCAGCGCAGACATCTCGCCATGCGACCTGCTCAGGAGACAGCAAAGGCACCATCACCCAGGGTCACCACTCAGCTGAAAACAGCCCTGAGGACAAGCAGTGCTCAGGGCAGGACAGGGCACAACGCCCCACAGGTAAAGGCAAAGCTGGGTCTGTTCCAATGGCAGCACTGGGAAAAAAAAAAGAAACAACTGCATCTTTATTCTAAAGAAAGTTTCGTAAATATTGCCCCTTAACTTTTACTTTAAAATTGTTAAGAAAAACTTCCATCATTATACAGGCTATTTGTTTGCTTTAAAGGTTTGAGTTCATTTCTAAAAGGATCTTCTTCCTTGAAAAACAATTGTTCACAAGGCCACTATGAACTGCTTTCAAAAATCAACATTCTTTGGCCTCATACTGTGAACTCTTGGCTTCCATTAAACCCAGCACCAAGAGTTGACCAAGTGTGTGTGGATCCAGGTACACCCCACACTGTCACACTGCCAGCTGCTTCCCCCCCATGAGCTACGTCAGCTGATGACCTCAGCGAGGAGGAAACCCTCATTCCTTGCTGCATGCTGGGTTAGAAAGAGGAACTGGATGAAATGTCACTGTGATGATGCAGCTGAGCCTCCTCCCTGCCCAGAGCAGCTGCCTGAAATATGGGTCTCCTCGAGCCAGGTCTCATAAGCTCTTGGAGATCTATTTCACACCCAAGATAGCTCAGCTACCTCAGAAGGCATAAAGTCATCAGGATGGCTTCTGTGGTAGCACTGGAAACAAAAAGGTTTTAATAAAAGGCAAAATAACAAAACTCTTTACAGAGAAAAACTGAGCCAGGTGCAAGAGGTCCTCCTGCCCCTGGTAAAACACCTCACAAAAGCAATTAGTTTCTTTGTTCTCTTCTTTTTCTAGTAAATTACTTAGGTGGCACTTTTTGATTTCTGTCCAATTGGCAATCCTTAAGTTTGAGGCGAAGTCCCCCAGGTCCTACGAGATGCCTTTTCACCTACTCAATGAGAAAAACTTCTGGGCTTCTTTCCTTTCTAAGGGTACAAAGGATAGTTCTGCCACTCCTTCAACAGGAGGGCACATTCCTGCAGCTGGCCTCACCTTTGCTGGCTTTGTGCATGTCCTTGTCCATGGAGCAGGCGGTGCAGCAGTGCTGCGGGCAGCGGAAGCCGCGCGACTCGAACAGCGCCGTGGCGAACTTGCGCACGCACGCCTCGTGGTAGAACTTCCCGCAGGTGCTGACGGAGCAGCGCTTCACGTCCTTGCCAGGCAGCTTGCAGGAAAAGCACGTGTGCTCTCCTTGGAAGAGAAGGAATAAGGAATGCGGACTGTAAAAGCCAACTCTGACATACAGATATTACCCAAACAAATTGTGAAGACAGTAGGTGTGAGCGATGCGGGATCCTTCCTGTCCGACAGGCTGGGTGGTTACTGTGATCCACAGTAACACTGCTCACATAAAATCTCTTATTCCAATTAAAACCCTATTTTTTTTTTTTTCTTACAAGGCACTTGCTAAATGGAAGTTGAGTATCTGGTCTCAGAGGTTAAAAAAGCAGCGGAATAACCCAAACTTACTCAGAAACCCTCAGAAAGCACCATCTTGGTTTGCCCTGACCAGAATGTGGCTCCTGAGCAAAGGGGGAAACCCCTCCCAGTTTTCCAGGCACAGGAACACACTCACCGTTCTTACACTCGGTGCAGATGAACTTTTCCTCAGGCATGGCCTTCAGGCCGAGACACTCCAGGTGGAACATGCTGCAGCACTCGCCCTCGCAGGCCAGCAGCGACTCGCCAGAGCTCTCACAGATCTGCAACAGGCAGAGAGCTCAGCAGGGAACAGGGCACCCTGACATGCCAGTGACTGCCAGGAGCTAACAACTGCCTGGAACTGCTTCAGAGTGAGGGTAAGGCAGAACTGAACCTGGCCAGCCTCAGGGTGAGGATAATCCCAGCACTCCTGCACTTTGCTCTGGGGTGACAGGAGAGGCACCACAGGGTCCACCTGCCCTCCTCCATTTCTCAGGGAACAAGCTGTGCTTGCTCATCAGGTCCTTTACTACTGACCAGGGAACTGGACAGAACATCTCAGGAATTTTTTTTTAAATACTAAAAAATTCTCACTCTGTCCTATCCTGACCAACCATCTGGAATCTTCAAATGGAGCAGAAAATGACATCTACTTTTTCTACTGAGGCTGGCAGGTATGATTAGCTCACCACCTTAGCTGATGAGCTTTCTGGCCTGCAGGAGGGCTTAGGAATCATTTAATATGAATCACTTCCAGAGCATAAAAACTCCTAAAAACCTGGATATTTTATCGGAGAGGTCAAATTAAGAAAACTAACAGAAATAGGGGATACATATTTAGTATCCATCACTTCCCAGTATCACCAGTTACCTGACAAACAGTGTCTTTTTTACTTGTTCCAGTTCCTCTCCTGGATAAGCTGGAGTCCACAGACTGCACATCTGAGGCATCAGCATCAGCAGTGGCTGAGGGGCTGTCTGAACGCTTCCCAAAACTGCCCTACAAAGAGGAAAAACCCACGGCTCTCAAACCAGACAATGCCAAACCACAACCACACCAGGGAAAATATTTCTGTCACTGTTGATCAAAAGACCATTTGGTAGGTCAAGAGACACAAAGGTCCTGGAAAGGTGTTGAACTTCACTGGGATGACACAAGTGCTGCCTTCTTGATATATTTCACCTGTACAAGCCAAACACCATAAAGAGCTCTCTTGCTTTTCCAGACACTCTTTGGAGTTACACCAGACACAGCAGCATTTCCCAATTCCCCAAGAATTTCAAACCTTCCACAGAGCAAACCATGATCTAAACCAATGCTTTGCCAGACAAAGAAACAGGAAAATTTGTAAGTAAACATTGTATTTTTATAACCAGTGGAAGGGATTAGAAGTAAACAGACTAGGTTTTAAGTTTTCAGACAATAAAACACTCAAAATTTGTAGAAAATAGCGTTCACATATTTAGCAATAATCAACTGAAAAACCTCTTGTACACTGACAGCTTGTTCAGGTTCCTGTGAGAACCAACACACCTTTACCTGCAAATCATTGAGTCCTCTGGAGTCAGAGTCAGACGTGTCCCTGTAGGCTGAGCTGGTCAGTTCCATGTCTGTGGAGGCACGACTTCTCTTCTTTAAGGGTTTACAGGAGTCTGAAATCTCACTGGCACCTTAACACAACACGCTAAAATTAGTTTAATACATGTTCACGACTTTTTGCTTAAACTTAATAATGGAAAGAAAGATGAGAGCTTCGATTCCATTATCTGCCTTAATTTTCAGTTTGCAATTTTGTTACTAGTTGAATTCTCCCTGAAAATTAACTGAAAACCAGCTTAGGCAGAGCTTTTGACAAACTTTTTAACATGGTGACACAGTGGATGAAGGCAGTAAATTGTCTCTAAGGGAGGATAGAACCTTAGGAGATACCCTCTTCATCATCCATCTTTAACTTTGGCTAAGCAGAGACTTTTAAGAAATTCCCAGGACTTGGGGGCCTACAGCACATGAACAAACACCATCCTTCCAAGATCCCCAAACTCAGCCCGTCCCCAGGGAAGTCGAGCTCAGCCCCTCAGAGCACCAACACTGTGGCTCACATGCAGCAAAGCTGCTGCCCGAGGGCCACGAGCCACCAAGGCCAGTGGAGTTCATTTTCACCCATCACTCACCTTTCTGCAACCCCGTCTTCACTGCTGCCAGTGGGACAGCTTCAACCTGTTTGAAAGGAAAATCCACAGTTAACACCAGAGGAAAGTTTCTCCCTAGTACCAAAAAGCAAACAGGTCAGTTCAAGGGGTTAGAATTCAGGTGGGAGCTGCCATCCCCTCCTCAGCCCGAGCCTCCGCGTCCCGCTGGATCCACTCCTGCCTACGCTGCTGCCCGCAGCCCTGGCAGCCACGGGCCACTAGCCAGGTCCTTCCTCTCTGCCCTGGGGCAGGAAGGTGACAGGAGCGCTGTATCCGTGTCCAGCAGGCAGGAGCGGGGGCCCTTGGGCAGCCACCCCTGGTGCTGTGCAAAGCCCAGAGCTGTGTGAGCACCCGTGCCCCTGGCAGGGCTGGCACTGGGCTGGCGAGGCACAGTGTGGGGCCACTCGGTGCTCCCTGCAGCTCCTGCAGCCCCCGCTCCCCGTCTAGAGCTCTGCACGGGCCCGCCCGGGTGCCGCGGTGCAGGGCTCTACACAGCTGGAACTGCAGGGCACAGCTGGAACTCCAGGGCACAGGCATTCAGCAGACAAATGCACAAGGTTACAGTCTTGCAAAAGCACTTCCAGGCCTTGACCCTACGGAGAAGTTTAGGAACTGTTCTGCCAACACACATGGAAGATGTGGGAATTTGGTGACTGGGTAATATTTACAGAAGAAAGCTGTTGCCTAAAATCCTGTTTTCAAGGTTAAGAATTACAGGTTATTTCTTTGCAATGTGGTTACATATGCATGGAGAAACACATTTAGTAAATATTTAAGGATTATTCTATAATTTTTTTAAAAAATATTTTATTTTGTTGTACAATAGGTAAAAACATACAGTAGAAGGATTTGTATAGGATACATTTTGTAATACAAATATAAAATCTAAACAATCACTTTTATTTCTCCACTAGTCACTGTAACAGTAGCATCAACATTTTGTTTTTCCCATTAATTGTACTCGTTCCAGTTATAATTTTATACCAAGTTGTTGCAGACTAACTGGGGAATCAAGAAAACTTGACTTTGGGTAACAAATATTGTTGCATAATTGTAAGAAGTTAGTAAGTTTTCTTTTTTTAAATTTAACTTAATACATTCAAGGTTTTGCGCATTACAGTGCCCCTGGGTTTCACTTTAGTCAGATACTTCTCCTGAGAAAAGCACTTTAATTAATGTCCACAGACTGAGTCAGCCAGGTAAGAGAAGCACATGAAGCTACCTGGCATCCATGAAGTTCATCTTGTTGGTTCTTATACCTTTGTTAAATTAAGAAACCTTTACAAACATAAAACGACTCTTTTGAAAGGGGGAGGCTGCAACAGCTCGTGCCAAGAGGCTCCAGGGACCACATCAGGTGTCACACACCCAACACTTTAATTGCTTTAAAGTTTCAGCAAGAAACTGCCTCGAGCTGGAGCACTCCTCTGCTGCACAGCAGTGCAGAAACGCTGCAGCATCAAAGGAAAAAATAAGGGAAAAAAATCCCAAAAAAGCAACTGAGTTCACTTTCAGTCTCTGAAGTGAAGGAAGTGCAAAACAAAGCGCAAAGGGTAAAGAATAAATTAAAGAGATAAAAATATTTTTTTCCCTTCCCATATAAATCTTCATCCTGACTGTCCCTCTTTAAAAATTCTCACTGGGAAAAGCTAAACTATGAAACATTTATATAAAATTCTCAGCTTTCAGACAGAGGTCCTTGAAGTGGGAAAAATCAACCATGCAAGGAGAAGAACCAACAACTTTGACAAACTTTTTTAAAGTGTATGCAGGTTTTAGTATTTCTGTCCATCCACTGCACTCTCCTACTCATTTCCACGCAGAAATTTTTTATCATTAAAATTTTCTTAAAGCAACAACATTTGTCTGTCTGACATCCAGATTAAAGGAATGCCCTGTACACGTTAGAACTATTTCAGGAAAAAAATGGTATATCCCAGAACTGTTTTGCTGATGTCTGCCAACATGAAAGTCTGACTATTCATCTTTAAATGAAATCATTCTTGAAGTCCATTTTCAGAAGTGGTCAAATTAATCACTCTAACTTCATTTGAAAAACAAAGCCTCAACACAAACCAGCAGCTAAATCAAGAGCCAAAGGAAGGAACCTGGTGGCAATTCCATCCAAGAGAAATCACTGAAACAAACCCATTTTGCTCAGAACAGAAATCTCAAAGGAAACATGGCAGGTTCATTAGGAGTCATCCATCACTGCGTGCCCACTTCCATAGCCTGACTGATACTGAGAAGATGCCAGTAGCAGAGTCACAGCAATGGCATTGACAGGGGGATTTCATGGAGGATAGTCCAAACCGAAACCCGATGGGGAAAAATGGAGAAAAATAAAAAGGCACCAATATAAGCCACAACATTTATGAATACAATATATTTTAACTCTCTACATGGAGGAAGCCAACCTGCTCCTTTTTGATCTTCTTCTTTGGCACAACTTCGGTGGATTTCTCAGACTCGGAGCGGGTTCGAATCGATCTTCTCTGTTGCTTCTTTTCTACAGAACCTGAAGAAGGAAAAAGGTTTCCATTATATGATTCCTTGTATTTCTGAGGTACACCAAGATGTGCAACACCAAACCAAGAGGTAAAGGAACGAAACCAAGACTTTGTCCTCTTTTGAATGTTTTATTTTTAAATTCAGTTCCAAGCTATTGACCAGCTGGTGCTGTGGCTGCAGACACACATTCTGATTCCAGAGACAGATCAGCTTCAGAAAACAGACACAAGTAACAGACTGGAACAAAAGGCTGGAATTCAGATTAGGGCAAACAGATTTCCATAATCCATAACACACCTCTCAGGCATGGTCTTCACCTGGGTAATTCTGAACCAAACAGTCCTTCTTTGCTGTTTTGGGAAGGTAGCCACAACCAACTCCTTGAACAAAAACAAACTAGAAATTTCAGACGCAAAGCACAGCTTCAGGATTTCCTCCAAAATGCCAGATCTCTGTCCCCCTCTGTGGGGTGATGGCCTCTGTCACATAACTACAGCCAGTCCCACCCTGTCCCACCTGCAGCCACACCAGACCTCAATGCTCACCTGAAAGTTTCGAGGTGAAGAAAAACTCAGCACAAACAGAAGCATCAACCATGATGTGTTACTGTCGTTAATGAATGTGAAAAACAAGTTTTTAAAAGTATTACCATAGAAAACAAACTCAGATTAATGAAGGTTACTGTGACATTTCAACAGATGAAGAGGGAGCTATTGGGGTTTTGGCAACTAAAGCTGGCAAAATCAACATTCCTTTCTGTGCTCCAGCACCTCCCAAACAGGCACATTGAGCACCATGGACACGACACTCAACACCATGGGCAGCTGCTGGAACAAGCACAACACACTTGGAGCTGACAAAACTGGCACCTGAGGATTTACAAGGAGCTGCTGGGAAGCATTATGCTGGCTTTTCAGTCTGGGAGGTTTCACCTATAGAAGACACAATTGGGAAATACTTTGTTTTCTTCCAAGCAAAACTGCAAACTCTTGGGAGCTGACTGTGTCAGATGGATGCACTTTTAGGAGCTGTAAACCTGCCTGGTCTTGTCAGAAGATCGAGTATCTAGAGACACACATGGGCTTGAAGCAGACTGAAAGACAGCCTTGCAAAAGGACTTCAGAGAAAAAAAAAGAAAACTCCTCTTGGTAGATTGGATGAGCATTTTTCCCATGGCTGCATGGCTCAGGAATGTCTCAGTAACTAAACTATACAGCTGGAAAAGTTATCATGTTACAATAACTGGATTTCTGAGGGGAAAATTTTGTTTTATAGAGGGGAAAAAACTTTTACAGCATATTAATTAATGAATAATAGATATTAGTTATTAATAATTTAGAAATTAATGACTGAGGTCAACAACCATCATGTCTGTCCACGTGTAACTTCTGGTTCCAACAGGCCCCATCCCTTGAGGAACTTGCACAGCAGCAGTGGTTCTCCACATTAGAGCTGGGAAATATCTTTTGTCACTTTGCTGTGTGACCAAAATCCCCTGAAGCAGCTTCAGGTAAATTTGAGCAGATGTGACCAACAGTTACTTTATGGAAGAACGGATTTTCTCCCTATGCTGCCCCGCTGAAGCCAAGGAGATAAAATCAAGCCCTGGATCAGAGAATTCCAGAACCAGAGTGTCTAATGTTGGCTGACAGCAACATTGACCACTGCAATGGGACTTTCTCCTCTTCCTGCTCTCCAAGGATCCAGTCATCACCTTCACAATGCTCCCATCCCATCTTCAGGTATATTTTCATCCAAAGTTTCAGGACAGATGTTGGACCAGCCCTCCACCTTGCTGGAGATAAATCCTAGTTCAGTGTCTGCAGGCCAGAGGCACCAGGGATTCTCAGGGCTGCTCTTGCAGTAGCAGGTTTCAAGTAAGGGAATTATCTTTCCAGCATTATTGAATTCTGTGTATCTAACTGCAGGTTATCAATAAGGACTCCCAGAGTCAGTCTGGGAAATACTTTACCGTAAAGGGATTCTGAAGTTCCACTGACCTTACATTTGAAAAAAGGACTTGGCAGTTATGTTCCACAAGAGGGGACCAATAACTGGACTTTGGAAATGGCTTTGAGAGTGACTGGAGTGTGCACTGCAGGTAAGCTCAGGCACTTACAGGGTGTTAGCAGGTGGAGTGTTACGTATCCAAAAAGCCTAAGAAAATGAAAAAAGAGAGGCTCAGAATTCTCACCCCCTACATCTGAGGAGCCATAGGGAAGCTGAAGCCTTTAGATCCCAGGTGAGAGAAGCAGAACGGCGATGGCCTCTCCTGCTGCAAGGCAATTCAAGGAGCCACAGCAACCACAGCTGGAAAGAACCACCACTGCCAACAGCAGGGGAATCCCCCCTCACAGCAGGAAATCCAGAGCACCTGGCCTGTGTGCTCCCAAATGCTCCATAAACCAGCATAGCAAATGACCCTGCCTAAAACCATCACACAGAACCTGAAGTGTTTGCAGAGGACTCATGGATGCTGACCACTGAGATTTCTGACTCTGGTTCTCATCTGTTTTGTGTTTGTTAAGGGAGAAATAACCAAATAGATGGATAGTTAAAGCAGAAGTGACACCTGGCAACATTATGAGATTCAAATAGCTCATTCAAGGTTTTCCCATTTCAAGCCCAAGTTCCATTATTTGCTTCAGTGGTTCTTCTCCCTCAGACCTGATAGTTCAAAACCCACTGCTTTATGATGTACCCCCTGAGATGGTTTCAGGAGGCAACCACTACCTCATTTGGTCAATGGAGTTAGTTGAAGCAGTTTTTAAAAAATTCCCTGTTTTTTAACAGGTCACACAAAAACGGAACAACAAAGCCTGGGGAGTCTGCATCTCACATCAGACACTCCCTACTGAAACGTGCCACTTCCTGACTCCTGTGCTTTCATGACAGCTCTTGCATTTTCCATTTGGGACCAAAAGCCATGGCAATACCCTGCTAACACGCATCCACTGGGTTGTCTCCTAAACCAACTTGCCATTGCTCTGCGCAGGACATCATCCCTTGAGTATGTTGACTCAGGCTGTAAGCTGCAGACACAAAGTGCAGAGGCCAAACCACCAATCCCACCCCACAGCCATGCTGTGTATGTTGGCTCACCACGTGTGACATTAGCCATGCCCATTACACTTATTATGTGAACTGAAAGATGTTAATAATTTTTAAGTAATGAGAAAATGCTGGGTTTGGTATTTGAATTCTCATGCTGTGGGCTCAGGTTCAGACCAGGATTGCAGTTTCCCTACCTGCTGCCCCAGAAGTTGTCTCAGGAGAGGACGCGTTTTGCACCACTGCTTTCTCACTTCTCTGAGCTGACGAAGAATTAACTTTCTCTTGTCCTTTGACACTTATTTCTGTTTTGTTGCCAACTCCCTTGAAAAGAAAAAAAGAAAAGATTGTCTTCCCCTGTTATAAAGGTGTGCTGCTACCAGGTAACAGGCCTGCCCCTGAATCTCAGAATAGAAACAATCAATGCTCTCCAACCCAACACACAGACAGGATTAGTTTACTATGGAGCTGCTTCCCTGCAGGACTTTCCACCCCTCTCAATCTCCCCTCACACACAAGGAAAAAATAATTCCAGTGACTTTTCTAAACATTACCTTCTCTATAGGGTTTAGGATGAAATAAACACTCTCCAGGTAGAGAGGCAGAAGGAGGAGGCAGAGAAATAGTCCTAAGCCTTTTCCTTACACTGACTGTGGGAAGCTGCTGTGCACCTGAAGGAAGCTCAGAGGCAGAACTCAATTTAAAAGTCTGTTACACAAAATGTAGTTATTACTTTTTAGTACATTATTAACAGTTTTGTCATCTGTTTCCCAAAAAAACACTGACTTTATCAAGAATTTTTGGATTATTTCAACTAGGAAGCTGAAGTTAAACAGCTTTAATATTTTTAATGTGTTACAAACAAAAATATGGCCATCTGTAGGGAGCTGCTCTGCCACCAGCAAAACAGTTACTGCCAGAGCTGCACTGAACGTGGGGCTCAGTGCACTGAAAGATTCTATTGTCACATCTGTCTGTTAATCTCTCCAACTAAAGGAACACGGGTGGTGAAAGCTTGGTGGACACAGTTCAAGCTCCCCAGTAAGGCAGGATGGGATAACTCAGGAGCAAAAGAGGGGGGTCACTGCACCAAGCACGTACCTTGGTGGAATAAACAAATTGATCGATGAGCTTTCCATCCCCGGCAGCATTCTGAAGGGCAAAAACCTGTTCAATTTTAACAACCGGAGACATGTTACACTTTTGCAGATCCAGGTTGTGCATGGTGATGGAAGCTGGTAGGGATTTCCTAGCTGCAGCTGTTTTCCAGGCGATTTTCACGGGTGGAGCCTCCTCCTCCTCCGGGCTGGAGTGCCGGCGCTGGCCCTGCCGGCGCTCGCCGTGGCAAGGCGACGAGCCTGCCGCCACGCCGGCGTGCTCCGGCTGCGAGCTCGGCGCCGCCTTCGGCCGCCGGTTCTTCTTGGCCTCCGATTTGGAAGCAGCAGTCTTTTTGGCTTTGGCCAAAGCCTCTTCTGGCTCTTGGTCTACGTAAATGAAGGTGTACTGCTCTATCCTCTCTTCCCGGGTCATTTTCAGCGCCTTCTCGGCGTGGGCAATGCCAATGTCCCACTGCGCTCGCTCCCTCTGCGGCCGCGGCTTGCGAATCTTAAGGGACAAGACAAGCAGTTGGTTACACTGAAGATTTTGCCACTCCAGCACTTAAACACAACCCTGAGCGTCTCTGCATCTCTCAGGCAGCAGATTGCAGCCTGCTCTCCATTTACAGGGTATTTTTGACACTGAATGTGGATGCTGAATTCCCTGCCGGCGAGATGCAGCCAGTCCTTCTCAGGGCAAAGCCCTGAAGAGTTCCAGACCTGCCCCGGAGCATCTCCCTTACAGAGATGATCCCCCCAGTGCCCCCTGTACCTTCTGTTTCTCAGAGTGGTTGCTGGCTTGCTTGGCTGCCTCAGCCAGTAACTGCTCGTACTGTTTGTGCCCTTGGTACTCCCGGACGCGCTTCTCGTGCACCCAGGCCCGCTCTGGCTGGTTGCTGAAGAACTGCACGTGGTATTCCCGGGCACCTGAAAGGGCAAACAACACTCAGCAGTTGTACCAACACAGCTCTGCCTGTTCAGTTCACACCTTCCTCCTCCTCAGCCCTTCCTTCCTGCAAGCGGTAGTACCTGGCCCAAGTGCACATCGTACCTGGTCCAAGTGCAGAAATACAACAGGCCAGATCCAGAACAGTTTGGGATGGATGCTTGGGACACCCTGCCCACACTGACTTGAGAAAAGCAGAAACACCTGTGCACCAGCCTGTTCCCACAGTGCCACCTCCAGAGGTCATGTACCAGGCTCTAGTTCTGTGTGTACCAGGACTGTCCTGTTCAGCACACACAGAGCAGAATCCACCCCGCAAAGGCAGTTTAGAATGTGGACATTTTTAATAACAGCTACAGACACCTGACACTCTGGCAAAGAGCTTCCTCCCTTACCTCTTGTATTAATTTTGGTATGCACGTCAAGCTGTGGATCACACGACACCATGCAAGGCCACCACGGGTACGTCCCCACCTTGGACCAAACCAGATCCCCAACCTGGAACTTGACGTCGTGGGTGACCTGCGTTGGAAGGGACGGCACGAGCTGCTGGACCTGCAAAGGAAACACCACATTAAAACCACAGGAGAGGATTTAGAGCACTTGGAGATGCACACACCATCCACAGGGACTTGTTGTTGTTCTCTCACATATCCCTGACGTTCGATAATCCAAGATGAGAAAAACATTTCTTAGAAACATGAAAGAAAGGAGCTGCACACAGCTGGGATTTACGTAACAACATCACCGACAAACTGAGACACAAAAGAGCAACTGCCACCCCCCAAAAAAAGGATTCTGCTTCCTAAGTTGATTAGAAATACTGCTTTTAGGATAAAATAAAGTATTCTGCTTTCTAGGTTGATTAGAAATACTGCTTTTAGGATAAAATAAAACAATAAATCCAGTACAATAAGAGATGCGTAGATGCAGTAATGAAAGTAATAAGAGTTTAAAAGAAAAGACAACTGATTTATCAGATAAATTAAAGAATCAATGGAAGAAACAGTCCAAAAATAGTAACATTCTCTGAGTTCCAAAAGTGTTAATTGGTGCATGTACTAACCGGGGCTTCCTCCAGCACTGCATCTTCTCTTGGTCTCTCAGAGAGTGTGCTAAGCCTCTCGTTTGGTCTCTAAGAAATGGGTAACAGTGAAGAGAAAAAGGAAAACAACACTTACTGTAAAGGGACAGTAAAGCAACAGAAGATAATAGTGAAACCAGGCAGAAAAAAATAATTCACAGAGAGAAAGGCAGCCGTGAACCCAGAAAACGTGAATATGACTGACTACTCCTTGTACCCAATTAACATAGTAACATGACAATAAAGAAATACCTGGTCTCCCCTACACTATTTACATTACTATCACACCTGAATATAACTATGTTCTCCTGTAACAGATGACAGAAGAACATACATTCAGAAACAGCAAATCCAAGTAACTTTCCACCTAAAATAACACACAATTTCCAAAAACCAGAGAACCCCATGTGAGGATACCCACAGCAATCTGGTGAGTCTCACTGTACACCAGTTATTTTCAAGAACTGCAGTACATAAATTATGCTAAATATACAACATGATCATTGTAAAATCGATGTTATATTGCACAGAGTTGACAAATATATCTGGAGGATCAAAAGACCACAACACAGAGCAGAATCAGCCAGAAGCTGACACTGATGTGAGGTGGCCATGCCAGCGGGTGTGAGGGGACAGGGGCTGAGGTAAGGGTGGGCTGGGAACTGTCTCAGGAGACAGATGCCACACACTTGCTTTTCCTGCAGCAGAGAAGTCAAAGGACTCAAAGAGCAGCAGAAGGAGGTGTCAGACACAAGCAGTGAGGAACTAATAATGCTGACAAACCCTGTTATTGCCAGGCCACTCCAAGCACAGACCCCACATCAGTCCATGCTCCAGAGAACCGGGGACACAAGGAAAGGGACAGAGCAGCTCAGGTCAGGGGTGGCACAGCCCAGTGTCTCGTCTGGAGCTGGCTGTACACAACCACCACTTAAGACTAATCACGTTGCTATTTGCTGGGCAGAAATTCTTCCTCCCTGCACAGCAGGAAGCACAGCACTCTCTGCTGCCCCTCTTTAGCTACAGGGAGTTAGTGAAACCTCCCCTCTGCCAGGAGAGCTGGGTTCACAGGCTGCGAATTTCCAGCTCCTCACAGAACACAACTACTGAGCAGAGAGGTTGAGTCTCAAAACAAGGATTCAGACCTTGAAGTTCACAACACTTCCACTTTAAATCAGCCTCTCCAGTATGGGCATCCCCTCACAGTCAGTGGATTTTCTCTGAAATTACAGCATCAGAATAAGGAACAACTGGTGACCATCTGACTTGCCACAGCCTTGTTGAGTGCAAAACTATAAAACAACCACAGTTGTACCAAAAGTTGTTTGTTCCTATGAAGATGATCCCAAGTCACAAGTCTCACACCATTAACACTGAAGATGACAAAAATGTACATGAAGATGAAACTGTGCAGTGAAAAGCAAAATGAAGGGACAATGCACCTGGGATTGCCCTGGCAAACTCATACTGAGAACCACCAGCACAAAATCCTGCTCCTGTCAGAGCAGGCCATGTCTGAAACAGGGCTGGGTAACATGAAACATTTATTGCAACACCACATTTAGAAAGGGAAATGAAAGCAACAAGGAAGACAATAGCAAGACCAAGATTTCTGGTGAACTCTGGATGACACACATGACTAGGAGCTTGGAATTCAAGATGCAACGTTTCAGTTCAGTCTGTGAGAGACAGAAGATTCCATTCTCATGGTAAGCAGGTAACAGAGCCAGAGGGACAGGCACAGCTGAAGCTCCAGGAGTAGAACAGGAGTCACTGGTAAGAGGGGAAACAAACTGACAGCCTGATGCGGGGGTGATGGAGCCTGGCCAGAAAGCAGATATAGTGCAAGAGAGACACTGCTCAGGACTCAGCAGGACACAGCAGCTCCTACAGCCACCTCCCAGGGGCCCCAACAGCACCTCCCTGCAGCACAGAACCCACTCTGCCAGATCAGAGCTGGTGCCTGCAGGACAGGATCTTCTCCCTGAGAACAGCAAGCACCAAGGGCTTTCACAGGTGTGACAACAAACTTAGCTACGTTCTGTAACAGCCCAGCCTGCGCTGGGCAATTTCTGTCCCTGCCAAAAATGGCAACTTCCCCATTCCTGGCACTTATCAGCCTCTCTGCCACCCATTCCCTCAAACTGGGAGAGGCAGAAACCAGCACCACAGAGGTGGCAGGAACAAGCATGAGAAATGGAAACAGAAGTACAGGAGTGGCTTATGAAACTGAAAGAAAAAGAATGAGAGGGCACCAAGGTAATCTGGGTCTTTGATTCCCAGAATCTCAGTTAACACCACCTGATGTACATCCTCTGGACATGGACAATATGGTACAAGATAGATTAATGTTTCACTGCTGAACACCCCAAGTAACCTCACTTTCCACTCAACAATCTAGCACTCTTTCGAGAGGCAATTTTAGGAATGTGCGAGCTTTCGTCCAGAAGTTCCATCTTCAACACTGGCCAGAGCGTAGCAAACTCTAAACATGCTATAACACTAAACAATATTTAAAAAACAATATATAACCTTTTCTAAAATTTGTTTTTCACATGAGCCTTTAAACCAACATTGCATTACCTACAGACACAGCTCCTGGCAACCTCATCCTGAGGCTCTGACGAGTAACTAAAGCCTGGTGACTCAGCGTGCACACAGCCAGAACAAGGACAAACCTCGCTGGACACGCTCTCCATCAACAATACCAGGTGTACAGATGGCTGAATTACCATTCCACTTACATTTTGCTCCTCTGGTTCTAATTTTGGAATTTTGTGTGACTTGCGCTCTTCCGATCGGGAAGAGTCATGCTTGCTACTTTTTTTCCTTTTCTCTTTCCTCCCTTCATGTTTTGCCTTAGCGTACTCCCTCGCTTGGACTTCATTCAACAGGTCCCCACACAGGGAGGACTCAAACAATTCCCTGCCGTTCTGGATAGTTTTGGTTATTTTCAGTTTGATCTCTGGTGAGCCAGTCTTCTTTGGAATCCCCGCTTGTGGAGCTGAAGGTGGTGGCGGAGGCGGCGGCTGGGGAGGGGAAGGTTTCTCCACAACTTCGTGCGGCCTGGCGTTGGAGTTCTCCAGCTGGTAATACTCCGGGGGGCTGAAGTTCCTGCCCGTCCCGAAGCCGTTGGCCGATCCGTTGGGATACTGAGAGTACGTCTGGTACTTGGCTTGGGGCTCGTACATGCTGATGGCAGGGGGGTACCCGTTGGTGAGGGGGGGCAGCTCCTCTGCCGTGGGTGTGGGGTACTGGAAGCCTTGCTGCAGCGCGGCCTCGTACGGCGTCCGGCCCCCATCCTCGGCAATGTCACTGCTGCCGTCAAAGGCCTCCTCTTGGCGGATGTTGGCCGAGTCAATGAGTTGAGGTGGTTGCTGAATTGTGTTTCCCATGATCCCTTGCATGAAAGAGAAAGAGAAATCCATTGTTCTGCTCCAGCATCCTTAGCTTTCCCTTTTTCTCATAGGGCCTAGAGGCAGGGGAAGGGAAATAAGAAGTCAGCGTAAATTCAATAACAGTAATTAAGCATATCAAACAGTTGAGGAAAAAAGGGATCTCAAGAACAGTTTTCCCTTCTATTCAGCAGCCACCCTCACATGGATTTTGGATCTCAAGAACAGTTTTCCCTTCTATTCAGCAGCCACCCTCACATGGATTTTGGATCTCAAGAACAGTTTCCCCCTCTCTATTCAGCCACCCTCACATGGGTTTAGAGAGGACCGGTGTTACTGAGCCTTTACAAAGGGCTACTGACACGTCTTTCATAGGGCAAATTTCTTCTTTTCCAAGATATTTCAAAAAATATCAGAAGCACCTACGAGTGCTTAAGAACTATAAGGCCAAGTATTACAAAGTCAGAGTAATGGTGCCAAACTCCCCAGCACTCTCTACAGGCTTCACAGTCATGCCCTAGGAAGGGTTATTCCAGCCTGAAGCACTGGACAGCATTTCACCCTGCAGCAGATAAGAGATACCAAGGTGTCCTGACACAGTCACTGCAAACTGCACAACCCAGGAACACCACAGAAAGACAAACAAAGAAACCTCTTCTCCTCCTCCCTCCCCAACTCCTTGCCAAAATTTGAGACACGAGCACCCTTTGGGCAAGCCATAGGATGCTCTGAACAACAGCACAATGAAAACAAGTGGGTCATTCCACCTTGGCCACTGGGAAACCAGTGCCCTGCAGCAGCCTCAGATGGAGCTTCCCAACCTCCCCCCTCCCCAGAAAAGCAGGGTACAGTTTGCATGCACTGGCTCCCAGCAGCTGTGTGAGGAGGGTTATCCTCCTGCCCCTCACACCTTATTTTAACATTAAGCACTGCATGGTTCTGAACCTCAGCATCAACAGACCCCCAAACCCAGAGGTTACTCACTGCATGAGATTCCACACCTTCAACTTTCCAGGGCATATTAAAACACCTCAATCAGACTCAAAGTTAGACTTCCAAAGCTCAACTGCAGACTCAGAGAAGGCTTTGGCATTCATGTAAGCAGCTCAATGTTCAACAAGAAGCAACAAACAGTGACCTGACCTGCAGGTAAGAAACACCAGTTTGCTTCCCACAAGGTTAGTTCAGCCCTTCCAAAGCAAACACGGCCCCATGGTATTTGTTCTGCCTGTGTGGGCACACAGGAGGGTTACTGTGCCCTTTTGGTCTGGGTTAGAAATGACATTAATGCATCCCACAGACACTTCTTCTAAAGGAAACCTCCACTAAACCCTGCCCACATGCAATTCTCACCCTCCTAAAGCCATGCATCTCAATACCTTAGCTAAGAGCTTTCCTAACACTGAGAACTTCCCTCCTCTAAGACTGCAAAAAGTCACTGAAGTTCCAACAGCAACAAAAACTCTAACAGATATGTGCTGGATGTTTTGGGGTGATGTTTTTCAATGATCTTCGTGCTTAGATTAAATTGATGCTTGTCCTCATATTCACTGTCCTGTGAGATTGACTCGGGCACGTTTGTAACTGCAATTAGGCAATTCAGGGCAATAACAGCACAAGGCTCTGCAGCAGAATTTTCTCATTGCAGGAACTTTTAAACCCCGGGGCCATGAAACCATCCCTTCCTCCACAGCTCTGCACATCAGCCAGCAAACCAACACAAGTGGCACTGTCAGGGGCAGCAGATCTGAGGAGCAGCACTGGGATTGCACAGCAAGGCCAAAAACCCCAACCCACCCCTGTTCTGGGAAGAGGAAGTGGGACTGTTTGTACAATTTACCACTGAATTGTTACTTTCCATCTGCCAAACCAAAGAGCAAACAGTAGATTCTCACACTAGGTTTTATTTTTCACTAAAACCAGGTTCAATCTTTTCTTCTGAATACTTATAAAAAATTCTTGGGAAGCTGTGGCAGCACTTCAGGAACATCCACAGCTGGGAGGGCACAGTCCCAGCTGCCAGTGCAGCTCCCACGGGCTCTGCAGAGGTGGCTGCCCTTGTGCTTTGTTTTGTTACATGACACAAGTGTGGATTAATGAACTTCAAAGCACTGCATTTACACTGGATTTAGGAGCCACCGGTTAAAGAACAGAGTTATGATTTGTTTCCTTTTCCTTCGTTCTGGAGCTCACCTGTGTCACTCAGCCTGTGCTGTGCTGCACAGCTGGGACACCCCATCCCAAACTGGTTCCTCAGGAGTTCTGTGCAGGCAGAGAACCAGGGCCAGGGCTCCAGGAACTGCCCCAGCAGCCCCAAAGCACCGAGGCTGTTCTCTGCCCCCCACAGCACCGACATCACTGCCAGCTCCTTCCTGCCATCACTGTTAACACACCCAGACCTTCCCACTCTCCTTGCCCAAAATTCTGCACCAGTGGGTCAGGCCCCACATGCTGCCCAGTGAAGTGGCACCTGGGCAGGATTACAGCGGGAGGACAGGCCCTAGAGTGACCCACAAAGCCAGGACACAACGGGGAACCTGAGCACACAGGAATCTCAACATCCAAACCCAAGGAAGGGTCACTTTGTGTATGTCCCTCCTAAGCACTGATGTGAAGGACACCCCACTGTCACCACAGAGAGCAACAGCAACACCACCCAGATCACAGGGGAATGGGATTCCCAGCTGATCTTGCAGAAAAGTATTCCAGAATAAATTCTTCTCACTATGCCAGTGATTACTCTATGAACCCACTGTACAGTTTGGCTTCCAAACACGACCCATAACAGATCCTGCACTGATACAGCACTGGAGATGAACAGATAAAGAAACAGTTTAATCACTTCAAGGTTTATAGGAAATGGACACTTCACACCAAACAACTTGAAATCAACAATGAAACAATTTGAAATGAACACTTTCAAAAGTGCAACAGTATTTCCTAATGAGGGAGTTTCCTCTTTGAAGGTGAGAGTCCCCCATTCTGTTCTAGTCCTTTCCCAGGGCAGACAGGGACACAGGGCCATTTACAAACACTGACACTCGACACACCTTCAGTAAATATTTTCCTGTCCTCCATGGGAGAGTCACAATTCAAAGGAACAGAGGAAAAGGTAAATGGAAAAATGTAAGCAGCACAGAATAAGGCAGGTCAGTAGAGCTCTTCCTTAAGTGAACACTGTTAGTTTCAGTTCCCATCCCAAGCTTCTCAGCTCAACTGAGAACAACTCAAAAAATCAGTTCCACTCCAAGAGTGAGTGCTCAGTGAGGAGAAGGTTTTGCAGAGATTATGGATCCTCCAGGTTCACCTTTTCACCAACAACTGCACTTACCTAAAACCAGTTTTAGCATGAGTATTTTTTAAACTTTGCTCTCAGAAAACAAGACTTGAAGTTCTCAAACCTTGCTTCCATGCTGAATTAGACTAAATAACAACTGACCTCAGATTATCAAACAATCCTAGTCCTGGGTGGTCACAGCTTTTCTTATTCCCAGTCAGGGAGCTCTGTAGGTTTGGATGAGTCTGGCTGTGGCCACAGCAGGGAGAAACACAACAGCTACTGATGAAGTGCAGCACACACTCATTTTAAAGAGGTTTCACCAAACCTTTTCCTACCCTTTTCTGTTGACAGTGCCCACCCAGGGCTAGTTAGAGGTAAGGTGTTTTTTGGATGGAAGGTGTGTGCTGTGAGGCAGGAGCTGGCCTGCTGACTCCCTAAGGGAGCACTGCTGTGAGTCAGCCATGTGTGCTCAGAATGGTGTCACTGCCTCATCACCCTGAGCTGGGCTTTCTATCACCAGCCTCAAAAGCAGAAGTTCCAGGAAATCTTTATGTCCAAATACCACTCAGTTCCTGTCCACACAGACCTAAACAGAGAGATGCAAACCTCTGCTGACATCCTACTCTGCTGACCCCTCCTTACCCCAGAGATGTTTACTGCCATTTCCTGTGCTGTTTCATCCCAAGGCACCCAAGCTGCACTGCTGCTGCTCTCCTCAAACACCCAAGCAATGCAGCAACTGCTCTCAGTAGCTGTTCACTGCTGCAGGTGTTTGACAGACAGACAGACAGAGCTGCCTGGCTGGACAGGCCGGGTGTCTGAAGTGATGCAATGGCTCCTGACCTCTCAAAGCCCTGAGCCTGCAGTTCACACACACCCCTGCAGCTCACTGCTCCCCTGAGCTGAGCACAGCCACTGCTCCTGGTCACATTAACCAGAGGGACACCTCTGTCACCTGGAACATCATGCCAGTGGGTCAGAACTGTATGAACTGCAGAGGGAAATAAAACAATTGTTCCTACTAATCCCTGCATTCAGTCTGTGCAATCTGCTTTGTCCCATCCTTCTCTGCATGCCCTTAACAAATCCCCAGACAAAGCTCTGTTTGCACACGTTAAAACACCAAATTTTCACCTGCACCTGAGTCTTTAACAGGAAACCCACAGGCTGTGGGTTTTTCCTGACTCCAGCTGGACTGAGCTGTTCCTCCTGGCAGACACCAGTGGTGAATCAGAGGCCTCTTGACAAACTTTAAAGCATGAAGTGAGGCTGCTTCCCTGTGCACCTTTGTAAAGGTGTTTTGTGTTTGGTTTCTGAATGCCAGGAAAAACAGTCACGTCTGTAACTGGGTTTGATAAGGGCATTTGGAAGAAGTTTCCCACGGTGCTGTGGAAAGAAACAACTTGGACAGCAGAGAATAGGGGTTTGTCTGAAAAAGGGGCTCAGAGACCCATTGGTATAGAGAGCCATGGGATTCAAATGGAAAACATGGAGCAAAAACTCTGGATCTTCAGGAAAAGTCACGGGCCAATACTGCTATGAAGCCAGAAGTCAGATTCACAGCCAGGGCAAGAACCACAACGTGTCTCACACAAACCTCCTCAAACTCAGGCAAAGGCATGAAACTGGAAATTGCAAAATATGTTTGTATTCAAACTAAACATACAGTCTTTGACCACCATCCTTCACTCTTACCCTGCACCTTCATAAAGCACATGTCCAGGCTTCGGAGCAAAATCCTTCCAATCAGTTCATAAAAGTAATTAATAATAATAAAAAAATATAACTATCAAAACATTCACTGTGCATCTCTGCAAAAGGTCACTGAAAGACCTGAACAGCCATCAAACCACGCTACAGTTTTCCCATCAACTATAACTACCGGCTACTTAATACCATCCTTCGGGCTAGCTAACATCTGCAGAACCACGCCACCATTAAGACTTTTTAACAACAAAACGCACCGAAACGCCCGAGCTCATCGCCAGCGAAACGAAAACACAGCGAGACCACAACAAAGTAACAGCACCGCAGAAAAATACCACCAGAGCGACAACAAACCCTGGGCTGCTGCGCAGCTCTTCCCGCGCGCAGTAAAACGCCGCTCCTCGAGCTGCGGGGGCCGCGGCACGGTGACACCGGCGGGCGAAACCCCCAGTTTCTCGCCCGCAGCACGCCGGGGCTCGGCCCCGGTGAGAGCCGCGGGGCCGGAGCGGGGAGCGCGGGGCCGGCCGGGGGATCCCGCGTCACGGCGCCGAGCCGGGGCCTGTCCCGACCNTTAGCCCGCCGTCGCCCATTGGCCGCCGGGGCGGTGCCCGCCGCGAGGCATCACGGGAGGTGTAGTTCGGCCGGGGGGTGGCGGTGGCGTGACCCCCCGAGGGGACCCGGGGACAAGAGGGGGGTGGGAGGCGTTTCTGGGCTCTTCGGACAAGAGGGACAAGGGGCTGGGCTGGGAAGAGCTGTAAGAAAGGAAATTTAAAAAGTGATTCTGCTCCTCACTTTAGGGACCACCCTAAAGGCCCGTGTTCAGCGCAGGAACACCCACAGATGAGTCTCCTCAGGAGCAGCAGAGGAGGCTCATCTATGTCCCTCATTCCCACAGGAAAAGCTCTTTTATACATAATCTAAATCTGTTTAAAGCCCGGTTTCGTACTGGGAGCTCTGTCCCCTTTTTCACCCATCTATCCCGTTTTATTTTCTACTTTTTAAAACACTGTTCAATTGTTTGGGCATCCATTTGCCAAAGGGCTCCAGACCCTTTTCTCACTGGGGCAATGAAGTGTTTTTTCCCCTCTAGTCTCTGAAAACGAGGTAGTATTTAATAGAATCTCAGAACGGCTCTGGTTGGAAGGGCCCTTACAAATTTCAAGGCATCAAGTCACCTGCTGGGAACGTTTCTCCAGCCATCAGTGTGTTCCACCCGCCCCTCAGCCACACGGGAGCGGGGTGTTTGTGTCACACACGTCAGGGCTCGTCTCTCCCCCTGACACAGCGCGGTCCCCGCACAGGCCTCCCGCTGCCCGGGGACATCGGGAGCGAATCTTCTCTGCGAGCAGGGAAGCGCAGCACAGGGCCCAGGGGAGCTGCGGCTGCCCCCGGAGCCCCGGACATGTCGGAGGCTCCTGGATGCGCTTTAAGGCCCCGGTGCGGCTCTGCCGGAGGCTTCAAGGCCCCCGCGGGCCGGTGCCGAGCGCCCGCCATGCGCGTGACGTCATGCGCAGCTCCTCCGTCTCGCGATGGCGTCACGCATCGGCCAGTGACGTCACCGCCCACGCGCCGCAGCCTTTCTCGCACCCAATCAGAGGCTTTTCCCGAGTGCTCCTCGGGTCAGGCCCCGCCCCACTCCTCTTCTATTGGGCGAACCTCTGGCAGGGCCGCGATTTCGACTTTTGATTGGCTGGTATCGGGAAGGCGTGGCTCGGCGCGATGGCGTCACGGCGTAGACACCACAGAGCGGCGACGGCTCAGAGCGGCGCGCGCGGGGCACGACGGGACGGGCGGGAGGGGTGGGAAGAACGCGGCCGGCGGCGACCGGAACCGGAAGCGGAACCGGGATCAGGGGACCGGGACGCCGGGACTGGGATCGGCATCGCTGGGTTTGGCACGAGCACAGGGACCGGAGAGGGGCAGCGCGGGAGCCCCCGCTCCGTCCCCGCCGCTGCCGGGGGTGAGGGCCCGCCGCGGCCGGCCCAGCCATGGCTGCGTGCGGCTGTAACGCGCTCCTGGCCGCGGCCAGGGCCAGGTGAGCCCGCGCTGCCCCGGGGCCGGACGGGCCTCGGGGGTTTGCGGCTTTTATGGCGTTCCCTGCCCAAGAGACGCGGCGGGGCTCCCCCCTCATGCAGGGTGAGCTGCTGGCACAGCTCGGTATTCTCGGTATTTCAGCCGTTGCCGGGGGATCAGGCTCTCGGCACAAAACCGCTTTCACGGGGCTGGTTTGGTGCCTCGGCGCCCGGTTCTCCCGCGCTGCTCTCACTGAAACACCTCTCCAGTTTCAGGGGCTCCCATCTCCTGGCGCGCTGCAGCCCTCTGTGCTCCCCAGCCGTCGCTCTCGTCCAGCTGGTGGATCCCCAGCTCGCCTGGACCTGCAGGGACTCCAGGAGCCATTTCTGGCCACGCCGTGCCTGCCTGGGCGCTGCCCTGCCTCGCTCACCTGCCCACGCCTTGCACACCTCCAGCAGCCCCCGGCAGCAGCTGCCGGGGGAATCCCTGCCCCAGGGGAAGCCCAGGAACCAGGGAGCCAAAGCTGCTAAAAGCCCTGCCAAGCAGAGCGTGGTGGCTCCTGCGGGAAGGAAGCCCTTGCGACAGAAAATGGTGGATGAGCTGAAGCATTACTACAACGGCTTCCACCTGCTCTGGACTGACACCAAGGTGGCTGCCAGGATGGTGTGGAGGCTGCTCCACGGGCAGGTGCTCACCAGGAGGGAGAGGAGAAGGGTAAGTGCCACAACACCTGGGTAAAGTGATGAAGCAAGAGGCTTAACCCCTTCTTTGGACTCACTTTGGGTAATCTCTGCTGTGCTTTTCTCCTGCAGCTGCTGAGAACTTGTGCAGATCTCTTCCGGCTGGTTCCCTTCCTGGTGTTTGTCATTGTCCCCTTCATGGAGTTTCTGTTACCTGTGTTCCTGAAGCTCTTCCCTGAAATGCTGCCCTCGACATTTGAGACGGAGTCCAAAAAGGTTTGTGTGCTCTGTGAGGCTGTGCAGTGTGCCCAGCTCCTCAGGGCTGCTGTGCCTCAGACACTCCCAGCTCATTCCTGGGCTGAGCAGCACTGTGGCAAGGCTGTGCTGCAGGCAGGGATGAGGAGGAATGTGCTCAGCAATTCCATTTTGTGATTTATTAACTTTGTATTTCCCAAATGAAGGAAGAGAAGCTGAAGAAGAAGTTGAATGCGAGGCTGGAGTTAGCCAAGTTCCTGAGGGAGACCATTGCAGAGATGGCCAAAAGGAACAAGGCAGACCTGGGGAAAGGGAAACAATTATCCTTTTACCTGCACGAGGTAGGATGGCAGCCATGGCACAGACACACCTTTAGAGCTGCTGGCTGGGGCAGGGAGCACAGGATTTGTACCAGGATTGTGGAGACAGAGCAGCTGGCAGGGGCTGTTCCCTGGGTGCCTCCTTGCTGGCCCTGCAGTCTGAGCCCTGCTCCGGGGAATTCCTGCAGTCAGAGCCCTGCTCCCAGGAATTCCTGCAGTCTGAGCCCTGCTCCCAGGAATTCCTGCAGTCTGAGCCCTGCTCACAGGAATTCCCAGCCTGGAAGGGCACACCTTTCTTGCCCTGGAACTTCCAGTGGCTGCTCAATAACAGTTTCACTGTGACTTTTAAGTGTATTTCCAGCAGGGACAGGAATTCCCCTGTGAGGAGGGGAAGGGGGGAAGGTTCCCAACTGGGGATCCCACTCAGGGCTGTTCATGCCTTCCCTCAGCTCAGTCCCAGTGGCTGAGCCCTGCTCACAGGAATTCCCAGCCTGGAAGGGCACACCTTCCACCCCCTGGAGCTTCCAGTGGCTGCTCAGTAACAGTTTCACTGTGACTTTTAACTGCTTGACCCTGCTGTCTCCAGCAGGGACAGGAATTCCCCTGTGAGGAGGGGAAGGGGGGAAGGTTCCCAACTGGGGATCCCACTCAGAGCTGTTTGTGCCTCAATCTAGAGTTGTTTGTGCCTTCCCTTAGCTCAGGGCTGTTTGTGCCTCTCCTCAGCTCCTGTGACTTTTAGTTGTGAGGAAGGGAAGTGGGGGAAGTTCCCAGATGGGGATCCCACCTGTATTGTGCTGTCTCCAGCAGGGACAGGAATTCCCCTGTAAGGAAGGGAAGGGGGGAAGATTCCCAGCTGGGGATCCTGCTCAGGGCTGTTTGTGCCTCCCCTCAGCTCCTGTGACTCTTAGCTGTGAGGAAGGGGAAGGGGGGAAGGTTCCAGCTGGGAATCCTGCTCAGGGCTGTTTGTGCCTCCCCTCAGCCCCGTCCCAGTGGCCAGCAGCCCAGCACACAGGAGGTCGTGCGCTTCTCCAAGCTCTTTGAGGACGAGCTGACCCTGGAGCACCTGGAGAGGCCGCAGCTGGTGGCCCTGTGCAAGCTGCTGGAGCTGCAGCCCCTGGGCACCAACAACCTGCTGCGCTTCCAGCTGCTGATGCGGCTGCGCAGCATCAAGGCCGACGACGAGGTGGGTCTGCAGCAGCACCAGGGGCTGCCCACACACCCTTCCAGCAGGGGAGTGTGGTGTTGAGGGGAGTCACATCCTCCCCAGCAGAGATCTCAGAAGAAATCAGAGTGAGAGCTCACCTCCCTTGCAGTCTCTGGGGAGCTGTAATGGGGGTGGCACTGCGGGTGCTGTCGCTAGAACATTTCGATTTGGAGTCGTGCTGACTTATAAAAAAGTCAGGTTTTCAATGCAATGGGGTTATTTGGAAAACAGAGCCAGAGTTATACATGCAGAGTGGAGGGACAGCAGGTAGTGGCCATAAGGAGCAGCGAAGGAAATTTCAACTTGATAAGGAAAAATATGAAAATCAGTGAGTGGGTAAACAGTGGAACAAGTTGTCTGGAGGCTGTGAAATCCCCATCCCCAAAGAGCTTCAAAGCACAAATGGAAAATGCTGAGCAATTTTGAGCAGGAGATTGAACTGGGGACCTCCAGAAATCCCTGTGGGTGCAGCAGGCTCTTGGCTTGCCCTGTGCCTGGATGGGAAGGTTGCTGTTCTTGCAGATGATTGCCAAGGAAGGGGTCAGCGGGCTGAGCGTGCCGGAGCTGCAGAGCGCCTGCAGGGCCAGAGGGATGCGCTCTCTGGGGCTCTCTGAGGAGCAGCTGAAGGAGCAGCTGGGGCAGGTGAGTGTGGTTGATGCTTCGTGTGAGGAGACGAGAATCTTGACTCCATGTTTCAGAAGGCTGATTTATTATATTGTGATATATATTATATTAAAATAATGCATTAAAACTACTAAAAGAATAGAGAGAAAAGGTTCATCAGAAGGCTGGAAAGGACAGGAATGGAATGGAATAAGAAAAGCTCCTGACTCTCACAGTCCAAGCCAGCTGACTGTGCTTGGCCATTAATTAGAAACAACCAACATGCACCAATCACAGATGCACCTGTTGCATTCAAATACTTATTTCAAATACAATACCTGTTTGTAAACTTTTCTGCAAATTAGAAAGTTATTGTAAACAAGTGTTAATACACATACCATTGTTCCATTTGTCCTTACTTTTCTACTTTTTACATATTTTTTCCTAACTTATTTTATAGCTGCTGCTTAACTCTAATCACAGTTCTGCTGTCTCTGAACTCTACCTTTCACAGCTTTCCCAAAACCCTCCGATTTTATAAATTCCCCACACACAGTAGCAGACAGTTATTGTTTATATTTTTTTTTTCTTGAGGCTCCTCAGCTTCTCAGGAGAAAAATCCTAGCAAAGGATTTTTCATAAAATATCATGGCTACAGGTGAGTGTGCCCTGGCTGAGGCTGGTGTGAGGTTCCTCAGAGGACAGCTCCAGGTAGTGCTCAGGTGCAGCAGGCACAGCTTCCTGAGAATTCATGTGTGAGTTTCAAGATGGATCCTCACCCACAGAGCTGAGCTCTGAGGTGTGAAGGGTCCAGATTGTGTCCCAGACTAAAGAGAAATCAGGGCCAGACAGGAGCAAGGTGAAGTGGGGGTACTCCTAACTCTTTAGACCCATTTCTTCTCATTATGGTAACTTAAAACTGTATTATTCAATCAAGATTGCTTTAAGAACAGAGTCTTGTATTAATAAATACTCACATACAGCCAATATGAAGCAATTTTCCCTTCTGTTTTCTTTCAACAGTGGCTGGATCTGCATTTAAAGGAGAATGTTCCCTCTTCTCTCCTCCTGCTTTCCCGTGCCTTGTACTTAATAGATCTAAAGCCACAATCTGTTCCCATTCCACAGAACAAGGCAAGTGGTTTGAATAAAGCTTTTAGGTTAATAGCTCAACAATTATGCATTATAAAAATGAAGGACTGTGTCAGAATCTTTTTTTCTGAGCCTACAAGTGAACTGAAGTTATGACTCTTGTGTTCTTCTGCAGACAGCTGAAGCTGCTGGAGTGATGACATCTGTGCTTGAAGGTCAGGAGACCCTCCTGGACCCTGCCCCTGTTGTACAGGGAAGAAAGGTTAGAAACAGCAGTCTGCAAGCAGGAAAAAGTGTGCTGAAATCATTGGGAATGGGGTGTGACCAAACCTTGCCAAAGCTGGACAAAACCAACGTTTGGCACCACGGCACAGAGCACGAGCAGTGTCTGTTCTTGCACTGTGTGGGTGTTTCCCCCCAAGAGCCCCACAGCTGCATGTTCTGAATTGAGAGGCAAGGGAAGGGAGCAGGGATCTGCTGTGGCACAGCTGGTTATTCAGTACCACGCTGCTGGCTCCCAGCCAGGGAGCATTTGACCTGAATTGCTTCAGGCCTCAGCCCAGGTACATTCAGCTCAGAGGAGCCAGTTAAAGAGGACTTGTTTTTAGCCCTCTTAGTGAATTTGGGTTCAGTTGTCCAGGACAAAATGAGCCAAAATATCTAGAGTAAGAAAGCCAGAGCATATGGTTCTCAGCATCACACTGCAGTGAATTCCTTAGATTAGTCCCAGCTGATAAAAGCAGCAGCAGGAATCAAAGAATATTGTATCAACTGCCAGAAATATTTCCACATAGTTAAGCTGTGCTGGGGAAACAATGGAAATGCCAGCACAGCTTTCACAGAGTGAGCAGGGAGCAGCCTTGTCAGAAGGGAGAAGGGCCTGGGGGGTTCATGCCTTTCCAAGAGATTTCTGAGACTTACAGCTGCTTTTTTCTTAAAGAATGAAGAATTTGTGTCCCAGCCAACAGAGAAATTGCCATTCTCTGAAGCATCAGTGAAGCCTCCCCCACGAGAGGTGAGCTTGTCAGAGTTCTTACACTTCCCAAAAGAGATTGTTCTTCACACAGCTTGCAGCTAAGCCAAGGAAGTTCCTAGTACAGGATGCTGAGTGCTGCTGAGTTCAGGGAGCAGCTGGAGAAACTGGATGAGAACTGCACTGGGGGCTGTTCAATAGAAAGATACCACACATGGCAGAGAGCAGTCAAACTGGGGGAATTATTGATATATCCTTGTACTCTTCCTTAATAATCTGCCTTGGGCCACTGGGACAGACCAGCCCTCCCTTGGAGTCACCAGGGTAAGAGCCACTTTGTATCTGTACAAATATTTCTGCAGTGATTGTCTTTGTTTTGCCCATTTTTTTTCCCTGTGAATATTTAATTTCAGTTTAGGTGCTTGTGTGCACATCTGGGATGCCACTTAAGGCAAATTTGGGGGTCCAGACAGACTCCTGTCTCCTTTAACCTGAAGAACTTTGCTCCTTCTCAACTGTTTCTCTCCAGAGCAGCTTCCCATGCTAAACAGGAAGACAACTTCAGAAAACATTTTCAATTTCAAGAAACATTTGTACTGCCTAAAACCTGTCCTTCTCTCTTGCCCCTAGACCAAAATGGAAGCATCCCAGAGCAGCAAGGCTGGTGCCAACGGAGCCTAACCTGGAGCCAGCACTGAGAGGAAGCAGCTTCCATCTCCACTCCTCCTGCAAAGGGAGCAGGGATTTCCCAGGAGGCTGCTCTACACAAGGAGGCAGTAGCCCTCAGGGGCCTCTCTCTCTGTCCCAAGCTTGCTAGCAACTAGGCCACTGCTGTCTGGATGGCCCCAGACATCTCTTTTGTGCTGGATCCTTGCCCTGCTATTTTTAACTTATGGTGTAAATATGTTAATAATGGTGCTGCTGTCTGTGCTGTTCCTGAGCAGGTGTTTGTGCTTAGCAAAGGCAGCTTTTCATGTTAGAATGGCCTGTGCACAGAACAAGCTGGGCTGGGGTCCAGCAGAGCCTGTTCTGCAGTGTGAAATCCTCTGCAGGAACATCCCCACACACCCAGGGCCAGCAGCTTGTCCTGAGGGTCACAGCTCAGGCTGTTGGTCCTGTTTAGGGTGTTTTAGCCAGTGACCAGCCCACAACAACCCACGTGGCCACAGTTTTACTGAGGAGGGTGAGCACAGGGAGCGAGGGAGCAGCACTTGCTGCTGTGGTGGGACTGATCAGGAGGGCTTCAGGCCTTGCTGGACAGGAGCAGAGGCAGTGACAGGAGCAGCCTCCTCCACCTGTGAGTGTTTGCTTCCCCACGGGAGCTGTGCAGGTGCCACACACTGTGACAGAAGCAGACTTGCACTTTCAGGATCCCTCTGGGTCACAAGAGGGAGCAACCTGGACCTGCACACCTCTCCCAAGTGTGGAGCTTTGGTTAATCCTCACCAGGCTCAGAATACACCCCAAGTGCTCTCCATACTTGCCAAGTGACTCCTCACATGCTCCAGTGGTGGCTCAGTTTTTACCAGACTCTCAGAGGATACTGAAAAGCTGTTTTTAGCATTTGTTAAATTTTTTACTCTGTCCTATGTAAATGCTGAGAAATTACTCACATGATGGATTTTAAATATGTATATTTATACTTACTGTAAAATTAGATTTGGTGCTAAGTAGGAATGAAATGTCTCTTCCAGAGGTCAGCCAGCCTTTAGAACAACCCTACTGAAAGCCAGTTCTCCAAGCTCAGGTGTGAGCAGCACTTTAATCCCGAGGCCTCAGGCTCCTACAGCAAAACAGAGCCAGCTGTCAGGTGTCCTGTGTCCTCAGCTCTGTACCTGAGCCTCTCCTTGTTCACCCAGCCCGTCCACAGCGCCAGCTCTGTGTCTAATAAATGGGAACAAACGTTATTTCAATAAAATAACACCTTGCTGTGGAGTCACTGCTGCCTCTTAGCGCCGCAATGAGGGAAGGCATCTCCTCCCGCCTGGAGTTCCAGCCCGCGACTGCTCCACTCCCAAACCCGGCTGGGTTTCTCTGGCAGCCTTGGGAACCCCGGGGAGGTTTGGGGTGAAATGATCCAGTAATGGCTCTTTCATTTACCAGGCGGCCTCCACCGGCCCGGAGAGCTCCCTGCCCCACCCGAGCCCCCGCCTGTGCCGGCTCCGGGGGCTCTGCCCCTCGCAGGGCTCCTGCAGGCAGCCCCTGCTCGGGCGGAGGGAGAGGAGGAGGCTGGCGGGTGTCCTGGGCGGGATGAAGGCAGAGCCGGCCAGCACATTCCTGTGCTGAGAGGTTTCACAGATGGAGAGTGCAGAGGGGCTGGCGGGGAGCCCGGGCATCACCTGGGCACCGCCCTGCGGTGGGTGAGCTCTGCCTGGGCTCTGGTGCCTGCCACGGCCCCGTCCTCCATCCGTGCAGCACCAGGACCACGTCACACCGGTGTGTGTGTGTCCGTTTGCCTCCTGTGTTTTCAATTTAGAAAGATCTGGAAGCTGGCACTCGCTCTTCCTTGGATGTCCCGCGGTGACCACCATCCCCACGCCCGTGTTCAGCCTGAAGCGAGCACGGGCTGTGCCAGCCTCTCTCCTCGCAGGGGAGCCGGCCCTGGAGCAGGCAGAGGGGGATGAACCCTTTCCACACCTCTGAACAAACCCATTTTCAGATGAAAACCGCCCTCCTTCCCCAGCCGGACAGGTCGCTGCTGCCGCGGGGCTCTTGGGGACGTGCCCATGTTTCATCTCTGCCTGGCACGTGGGGACCCCAGCACCTTCCCAGGACCCAGAACCCTGCAGGCACGCAGAGGAGAGAGGCAGCAATTCTGCTGCATGACCTTCCGAGCGAGGGGAGGAAACGACCCCCGTGGAGCCCCATAAATCACGGGATTCTGTTCTGCAACACCGGGCAAATGAAACTCTGCCGAGATCCAAGGCCGTGTGTGCTTTGGCGTGGGGAGAGCTTTTCCAGCCACACCGGTGCCAAACACCTTCCAGTCTCCCCTCAGCCTGGAGAACCAGCTCCTCGGCTGTTTATCCTTCCCCTGGGCACTGTCACACCCTCTCTATTCCAGCCTGGAGCCTGGTGTTGTGGTGCCCGTGTCCGTCATACCCCATCCAGCGCCTTGCCCGGAGCAGGGGATTTCTGCTGGATGCTGCTCCTGTGCCAGGCCAGCCCCGAGCCTTGCGTCAGCCTCTTGCCCAGAAAGCTGCTATGGAAAGATGCTCCGGTCAGCACTTTTGGAGGAGATTAGTATTCCGAGGGAAAAGCAGTGATTTAGTGCGGCCCAAGCACAACAAAGGCTGGGATTTACAGCTCCCGGATCCCAGCGCCACATTCCTGCAGCCCTTCTGCCTCTGCTATAAACGTGTAACAAAGGAGATGGAGCTTTCCCCCCAGCGTGGGACAAGGGCTCCGTTGTCAAACCTTGCATGGAGCGGGATGGGGTGCAGGTGACAACGTCCCCAAAGTGTCCTCAGGGATGGTCCCATCCCACTGCCCGTCACTCTGCCCACCCTGCTGCTCCTCGTGGTGCCCGCACAGTGCAGGGCAGGGCCCAGGACAGCAGGGCTTTGGGGGAGCCACCTGCCCCAGCTGCAGCTGCACACGCCTGGCTCTGGCTCTGCTCGGCTCTGGGGGGCTGGAGCTGCACCCCGGGGTCCTGCTGACCCCACAGCTGGGTGGGACACGGGGGATGGAGGGTGGCTGAGGGGGCTAGGGGCAGCCACGGCCCCCAGGTTGGGGGATTGCTCCCCACACGCCCGCTGAGCCCTGCTGCGAGCCGTGGGACCTGCGCCGAGCTGGAATGGCACAGGAGGTTCCTGCACGGCTGGCATGGGGACAAAGCCCAGCTCAGCGCTGGCACAGCAGCCACGTCCTGGGCTGGGGCCAGGAGATTGTCCCGGCCCTGCACAGTCCGAGGGCTTTAAAAGGAGAGAACGAGGAAGGCGAGGAGCGGAGAAGACAAAGGATGCTGTGAGAGCCAAACGTGCTGGAGGCCAAGCCAGCGATGCCCAACACACCCCACCCGCTCAGGGGCTCCTGGGGCAGCACCTTCAGCTCCTCCATTGCTCTGAGCCGTTTCCCAAGGCTAAGCAGAGACCTTGGTGCTGGGCAGAGCTGGAGGGGCTGCAGGCACCCCTTGGGCAGGGTCCCAGCTGGTCCTGGGTGGGGTCTGTGGGGTGCCGAGGTCAGTTTTGGGTTATGCCTGTCTCCCAGATTGCCCACGTGGAGAGGATGAGTAGAGAGGAGCTGAATCTGGGCTCCTCTGAATCTTCCTGCTGTTCTCCAGCATTCAGGCAGCCCTGTCCCATCAGCCTCCGTGGTTTCTGCTGGGCACCAGCCAGGGCAGCACCCCGGGCACCCTCCCTGCTGTGTCCCCATGTCCAGCAGCTCTGCTGCAGCTGCTCTGCTTATTATCATATTTAATTGCCCTCCTGGTAACCCCAGGAAATGAGCAGGGGACGGTGAGAGCCGCAGTTTGGGATGATGTAAACACCAACTCCAGCTCTCCCTGCGCCGCGCCAAGCCGGTCCCGGAGAGAGCCGTGATTTATGGAGCCCCCCAGCCCTGCCCCCAGCCTGGGCTGCGAGTTTAATCCAGGGCTGCAAATTCAACATAAATCACTTGATTAAAAGCTCTACTTAATTTAAAGGGGGTGGGGGGTGGGCAGAGTGCAGCTGATCGATTTAATTTACACCGGGAAACAGCAACAAGCAGATGCATTTAAAAAGGCCGGCGAGGCCGGTGATGCTGCAGCTGCTTCAGCCGCCTCAGTTTAACCATTTCATGGCTCTGGAGGGGCTGGCAGCCCCTCTCACCCCCTCCCTCCATGCACGGCCAGCCCAATCCCACACCACTGCCCAGGCCTCGTGGGGTGCAGGGCGCTGGAACATTTTTATGGCAAGCGCCAGAGCCGTGAAAAACAGAATTCCCACAAAAGCAGCTGCTATCCCGGCTGCTCCCTGAGCACCATCTTCCCAAAGTGCTGCCTGGATGAGCCTGAGCCCCCAGAGCCCCCTCCCCATCACCCCCCGCCCAGGGACAGGCCGTGGGTGGCCAAGTGGCGGTTGAAGTCTTTAATAATTACAAGAATTCCAGATTCATTACAGAAGAGTTTACAACAAATAATATTTCTCCATACAAAGGCAAAATAAACTTTTCAAGTAACAGCGGCCTGGCTCCAGCGTCTCCACACCGGCGGCAGGGATTTTGGGCAGGGGGCGGGTTCAGGTGGCTCCTGCCCCAGCCAGGGAGCGCCCCGTCCGTCTGTCTGTCCGTGCAGGTGGAGCTGGGGCACGGGACAGCCTGGGGAGCACGGACGGGCAGAGCTGGGGTGAGGCTGCCCCCCTGGTAAGGCACTGGCAGGCGCTGCCCGGGGAGCGGGGCTGGCACCGAGCGGGGCTGGAGCCCCCTGGCACCGCTCCCCCCAGGGCAGGGCAGGGCTGGCAGCCCCCTCCTCCCTCCCCAGGGCACCCCCAACACGGTGCCACGGGCACTGGGCAGCCCCAGCCCCGCTGGAGCCCCGGGAGGGGACGTGGGGCCAGGGCAAGGCCAGGCACGTAATGACAATAGATTCCCAAAAGGCATCGACACGTTATTATTATTGTTTAATACAACCCCATATAAAACTGAAGCAGCAGCAGCAATTCTTATCGAGGGACCTAAACTGAAATAGGTTTAGAACATAATTTAAAAAAATAAAAACAGCAAAAATAGCAAAATATATGACTTTTTTTTTTTTTTATAGCAACTGATATCTACCAGCCACTAGTACCTTCCTACCAAACTGGTATATCTCTGGTAACAACCCTTTTTAAAAAGACATGTAAATATATATTCATATTTATACATATTTTTCGTTATGTACAGGGGGCTCTGGGTTTAGCACGGGTGGGTTCGGTCGCCTCTGAGCAGTGCAGGGCTCCTGCCCTGGGTGTGCTGGGCCTGGCTCAGCAAAGCCCACAGCTGCTGGTCCTGTGGCCTGGGGGCGTCCTGGGCAGAGAGGGAGCCCCACATCACGAGGCTCCCAGCACACAGTGAGGCTCCTGGAACGCCAGTGAGACTCTGGGTACACCAGTGAGAATCCTGGCACACAGTGAGGCTCCCAGCACACCAGAGAGACTCGTGGCACACCAGTGAGGCTCCTGGCACACCAGTGAGAATCCTGGAACGCCAGTGAGGCTCCCAGCACACCAGTGAGGCTCTTGGCACACCAGAGAGGCTGCTGGCACGCCAAGGCTCCCAGAGTGCCAAGGCTCCCCCCTCGTGCAGCCGCAGGAGCCGGGTGCTGCTCCCGGCTCACCGGGTTCTCCGCGTGGCAGACCAGCCTGGCTCCCTGTGCCCGACCAGGATGTGCCATCCCAGGATGCCTGGCTGGCTCTTTGGCCATGCACTGCCCACGGGAGAGGATTTCAGCTCAGCCAGGTGGGAACACTCAAGCACGGAACTCATGGAAAAGAGGTTGAAAAACGAAAGGAGGAAACGCCATGGAAACCCTTTGGGCTGTGGAGAGCTGACACGAGCGGCAGGAGAAGCTGGCAGGAGGTGGGTGGTTTTGGTTACGTGAGATGCTACGGATGTCTCTGAACCCTTTCTGCAACAGCTCAGCACAACCAGGCTGTGCAGGCAGCGTCCACGGGCACGGCACGGCGTGGCACGGCACGGCACGGCACCCCTGGCAGTTCCACCCTCAGTGTCGCTTCAGTCCACCATTGCTGTGCTGAGGGGGCAGCTTGGGAAGGCACGGCTCGTCCGGGAGCGGGTCGTGGGAGAACACAGAGTCCTCTCCCGAGGAGCAGGTGGAGCTGCGTGTGTCCGGGAAGCCAGGAGAATACTGATCCAGCGGCATGGACAGGTCCAGGTACTCCTGAGAGGGACAAACCCCAGCCACGGGCTCAGGAAGGGGCTGGGCAGCCCCCAGGGAGTGCCTCGCCCAGGTGCCA